CTTATTGATATATGATATATGTGGATAATAAATCCTCCGTACGCGTTTGCCTCGTTCGTTTGTGCATCTCCGAGCTGCCTCAAAACTGTGATGAATGAGGAGACGACTTGATGGTCTTTCATTTTTGATCCCCTTCTGAATCTGTTTACCATACATGATGCTGCTGCATGCCCAGGAATCCCAGGAGCATCATCGACAACTCGGAGGATTCTCCACCATGTACATATGCAGATGCAGGCAAATTCCATCTTCAAAGTGCTTGTCAATGGCTTACATGTAAGATATAAGATATATAATATGTATCAATTAAACAGCTACCTAATCCAACGAAAAACAAAAAAAGAAAATCAGAAATCACCCCCCATCATCAACTTCCACCAAACAAAACTACCTAGGTTACCTACCCGCATATGTGATCTGTCTGTACATTGTATGTATATGTAATGCACGTCGTTGTTTTTCCCTTTCGTTCCAATACATAGCATCTTTCGTCAATCAATAGCCCAATAATAGAAGACGCGGCCCATCATCCTTCTCGTAACAACAGCTTCCAATAATAATAGTATAAGTGACAAAAGAGAAAAAAGGTCATACATAAAAAAAAAAAAAAGAGTACCAGACAAGGTTATATATGTCATATCAAACTGTTTTGCAAGTCATTTACTTGTCATTTGTCGTCATCGTCGTCTGTCCAAGGATGTCTATGAGTAAAGAGGTTATCCAAACCCGCTTTGCCCGCCGGTCTGGCCACTGCGTCGTTGTTATCGTTATTTGCCGTGCGTATCATCCCTGATGTCGAAAAAGAAGCATTCATACTGATCCTAGTGTAAAAAAATTATCCGTTGAATATCGAAGTAGTTGTTGTGCTCCCGTGGTAGACGCCTTATCCGAATTCCCTCGTGATTCCAAGTTTTCAAAAAGCAACTTTGGCTCATTCTTTTTCCCCCCTTCTTTTGTTTCTCGTCCTACTCTGGGATAGCAGGGCTTACCGGCGAGTTGTCGTCCTTCTTTCCACCCCAGCCCCAGCCAGAGATCCAGCTTGCCCGCTTGTTGGCGTTGTTATCCTTGACGGCATCTGGGTTCTCCTGGACCAGTCTCAACGGGCGCGGCTTGCCGCCGCTGAAAGTCTTCTGCTTGTCGGAGTGGGATCGCGGTGGCGATTGTGACGTCGGCGTTGAGATCTCGCCAGACTCGCCGCTTAGGCTTGATGTCTCACTTCTCTCGCCTCTCGTGCCTGGGAAGTTTCCGGATGAAGGAGCCTGGCTACCGCTAGGAATCCGACCCGGAGTCCCAATCACGCCGGCGGTTGGGAAGAAAGCGTGCGAGTGCCGCTGGTTGAGTGGTGGCGAGGCAGGGCTATCTGGACCTCTGTACATCTGGCTAACGAGAGATGCAGCTCCAGGGAACTGATCGCTCACGGGTCGCGAACGTCTGTTTATCCGGCCAAGACCAATGGGGATGCTGGGTGCCTTGTCGGGGTCGGTATGGTCCAACGGAGTGCCATCAGAGGTTTGGATGATTGAGAATGGGCGCGGTCGTGTTCTACCCGCCATGATGGGCGCAGTTCTAGTCCGCTGCAGGATGGGCTGCCCATTGAGCTGGTTGTTGAACGATCCGTTCAGCCTCGGGCTGACGGACCCGTTGAGCTGCGTATTGATCTGCGTGTTGATCTGCGTGTTGATCTGCGTGTTGATCTGCGTGTTGATCTGCGGCTTCTCAATGGGCGGCGGTGGTGGAAGGTCCTTGTCCTTCTCGGGCAATGGGGGCTTCATGTCTGCTGATTGATCCAGGATTGTCTCAAAGTCTTGATGCTGAAGCAGGCGCTCGATAATCTTGTTGATGTATAGCGTGAGGGCCTTGTTCTTCTCCTTGAGAGCCTTGAGCTCGCTCTCGAGGCGGCGGTGGTCAACGGTATACTCGCCCTCGGACTGTGTCGCGTCCGAAAGCTCATCGGCAAGGCTGGAGCCGCTTGCCTTGCCCTCCAGGGCATTTAATGCCTCATGGTTCACGGTTGGGCTCATGTAGCTAAAGTCGCTCTGGCCAAAGTCTCCCTTGAGAGTCTTCTCCTGGAGGAGCAGTTGATAGCTCTCGTTGTCCTCCATGAGGCGCGCGTTGGACATGCGGGCCTCCATCAACTGACGCTCAACCTCTTGCAGTCTGCCTCCGCCCTGGTTCTCGGTTTCCACCAGCTTGATCTGGGCCTCTGCGAGCTCCAGGCGCAGGGACTCAATAAGCTTGTCCTTTTGAAGGATCAGCTTGGAGCTATTTCGCGAATCGCTTCGCTGAAGGGAGGACGGGGGAGCGAAGCCGCTGCCATCAAGCGAGGGCGAGGCGGTAGCTGCTGTAGACATTTCAGAATTAGCGTGAGATCCAACGACTGATGTCGACCGGGAACGTTGCTTACATTGCCTCGATGGTCTCGGATCGTCCTCGAGACTCAATTTCTGGGCTAGGGTCTCCTTTAATCGTGCAATCACCATCTGCATCTCCTCCTCTTTCGTTGCCATTTCCTCCTTTTCCTTGAGAATGGCGCTCCGCTCGGCCTCGTAGATTGTCTCCATCTCTCGAATCTTGCGGCCGGCCTCTCTCTTTTCGTTTCGTAGCGTCTCGATCAGCTCATCGTGCTCATGAACCTTTTCTTCGAGCTTGGCCGACTCCTTGACGGCATCGTCCAGCTTGGACTGCAGAACCTCGGCCTGTCGCCTGTTCTGCTCCGACTGCTTCTCCTCCTTTTCCAGGCGCTGCTGGAGATCCTCCAGCGCGGCGGCAGTGGCCGCCCGGGCGTCGGAGTCTGTGTTGCTCATGGCCGTGTCTCGTCGGGCAACAGCGGCGCGGGCAGAGACAGGATGGACGGATCTTGTCCTGACGTGTTGTCCGGTGGGCGTGGCCGAGCGCACGGATTGGGCTCGCGTATGGGTTGGCTTTGGAGGCGAAGTGCCAATGTCTGAAGTCGCTCGGCCGACTGCGATAACCGGCGGCTTGTTTGCAACCGTAGACATGTCGAGGAGGAAGAGGATGCAGGACGCCTTTCCGTCGAGGTCGAGGTCGGTGAGCTACTGGTGGTGAAACGCGCAAACGGGGCCGTCTGGCGCAGCGCCAAACAAGTTCGTCTATGGGATAAATATCAGGTAATTATAATTATGCTGCGAGATGGCCGGTGGTGAAGAGGAGAACTGCAGGCGTTTAGGAGGGATAACAGGCCACGAGGGTTTGGTCTGCTTGGTTGGGCTCCACCTCGAATGTGTCGGTGGGCAATTTAAAGGCATGGAGAGTTTCAAGAAAAAAGGTACCTCTGCCAAGGGTTCGGCGCCGTGTGCGTGCGAGGTACCCGTACTGCAGGAGTACATTTTCGTACAGTACAGAGGTACCACATCACAGTCCAGCCACTCGGGGGTGATGCGGTGACGAAAGCGGGCACAAGCAGGTCCCTTTTTTGTTACGGATTGATGCTCCGTGGCTGCAGCTTGTTGCTCCCGTTTTTCGCTGTCTTCCTTGTTTCTTTTCTTCTTCATCTCTTCTTTCCCGTCATCCGCAGTCCATGCCAAATTACGGGAGCAGCTCTTCATGCCTCTTCTTAAACAGTGCATGACTTTGGATCACGGCGCCCTGCATCTCTTCCATGCCCAGGACGGGTGCCTGATTGGGCCAGCGGGTGCTGGAGGGAAAATCACGGGCCACTAAAGGCCCCTAGACACGCTCCACCCCCACTGCTGGACGCTGCTGGAATCTCTCTCTGGCTCCCCTCTTCTCCTGCTCGGCTCCTCTGCGGACGCAACGCAACGTCTCGCCTCCGCCGATGCGCTGTGCTTTCTGTGCGCTGGTTTCACTGACCGCTTCTCTGCGCTGGGGACAAACAGCGCAATCCTTTTTCTGGAAGACAGAAAGACGCCCCTTGACCGGAGCTGGGTGCTTAGTCATTCATATTCTTAAAACGAGGGATGGAATAATGGCATGAGTAAATGCATGCATCTGCTTCCCATTTGCGGCTTGTTCATTGAGTACCTTGAACAACCAAAGTGTTTTGGCACAGTGAGGCGCAACTGAATGCGGTCACTGCAAAGTACCGGCTACAAGCGCGAGTACATCGCCAGCCTGAGAAAGGCTGTGGTTGCTATAATTAAAATCAGGGCTTCGCGGAGGCCTGGCTCAGCCTTTCCGTGGCAAAAGTCATGTGCTAGCCACGCCGTACCTGACAGCGTGTGCCACCAAGTCTCGTGAAGATGACAACGGCTGTGTGTCCCCCCGCAAACTCGGGCTGTGATAAGAGTTTTGACTAATCGTCATCGCTATGTCGTTCTTCCGGGCTCTGTTTCTATTTTTGAGTGCCAATAACGAAAGCCGTGCTGATCTTTCAAGTCAAAGTAAAATGGACGGAAGTCTGTAGATGTTATGAGCCACAATACGTAGGTAAAGTGCGCTCCTACTGTACACACACGCAACTGAGGCTGCACTATGAAGCGGTGGATCTGACATATGCCTCAGCAGCATTCTATTGGCATCCCATCACTCATGCAGCCCCCTTTTTCAAACTGGTTCGCATCTGCATTCTTGCTTCAAAGCCAGCCAATGGGATTTGTTACCAGCTTCCACGAAGCCTAGCAACTGGGCAACACATTTGTTTCATACCGCCAGTTTGACGTGGTCGAGAGATATGCAGGTAGATGGCGAGTTGCAGGTAAACAGATTCCGTGCGTCATCGAGTGTGGTAATAGCAGGGGCATTCGGCATATACATACACGAAGTCACTCTGGGGAATAGCATGCAGATTTAATTCAGCTTGACAGGGGGAACAGTCTTCATGGCTGTATTATTCCATTGAGATAACTATCACTTGGAAACTTCTGGGGCTGTTCATCCCCAAAAGGATTTGCCTTCCTAGTAGATGATGTCTCGCATCAAAAGTTTTCGTCTCGCACATAATGTGAGAGTGTATGGTATCCATATTGCCCTTGAACCGTTTTACCCCCAACGCCGTTTTGAATGCACTAGATTTTGGCCATTTAAGCCTGCTGGTCGCTGAGGATATCAGAGTCACCAGCATCCAGGATGGAAAGGGTGGAGCAGCGGAAGAGCTTTCCGCAGGCAGTGCCGAGCTCAATCTGTTTTACGAATAGTGTAAGCCAATGTGAACCCTCCAAAGTCTGGTAAAAGACTTCTTCTCTGGGCAATTCCGCAAGAATTGATACATTCTCGGGGTAGCAAGAGTAGCTTCTGAAAGAAGCGAGAAGTGTGATGGCGCAAGTATTACCCGTTTCCGGGTCTTCACTCGTCCAGGGCGTCTGAGGCTGCAAAACTTACGTTGTTACCGGCGAAGTGGTGGATGGGAGCCTTGGACAGCATGCTGTAGTACTCGAGTTCACTCTTTCTCAGGGGAGGAGTGTTGCCAGCAATGATGATCAGCTTGGCCTTGCCGGATCGCAGAGACTTGAGAGTAGACTTGTAGCCGAGAGTGACTGGCAAAACCATGTTAGGACTTTTCCCAAGTATCGCAGGATATCAATGCTCGAGGAGCCAGCAACATACCCTTTCCGGACTTCATAACAAGCGCCAACTTGGAGTTGATGCTGTTCGCATCCTTCTTGCTTTTCTTTTGAGGGGCCATTTTTAAGGATTTTGGGAGCGCGAACTGCGATCTTGAGGCTGAATTGATGCGGTTGCTGAAGACACTCTGAGCTCTGAAAAAGTTCGTGGAATTTAGTTTTCTAGTTTTCTTTTGGCAATGCACCAATTTAGGCGGGGCCAGGGCTATCAAGAGCCTAGCCAATGAGCGTAGGGTTGCCGTTTTGGTAAGCCCTAAAGCTCCGGCGTTTAAGCGGACCACAGCGGAGATGAGTCAAGAATCCTTGGATGCTTTGAAATCAACCCAGGCTGTTTTTCTGAAGTGGCGCCGGGACTCCTTGAGTTAGAATTATCTTCCCCCAAACATCATCAAACAAACCTCAAGAATCGTCAACGAAACACCGACAAAATGGCTCGCCGTCCTGCTCGTTGCTACCGATACTGCAAGAACAAGGTGAGTCTAGCTGCAATTTCGCGTTCTCGTCGACGGAGGAATATTTTCTCTTTTTCTTTCAGAGCTTGGAGATGAAAATATCTGTGGAGTGACGCAAGAGGTGGATTATAAATCCTCAAAAATGAGGCATCCTGGATGGGTTCGCTGTCACTTGTCTCGCAATACTTGGGGGCTTTTCATTGATGCCTTGGTTCTCTTCATCATAATCTGGGCTTTACTGACATTCTTTCGCTTCCTAGCCGTATCCCAAGTCTCGGTTCAACCGTGGTGTCCCCGACCCCAAGATCCGCATCTTCGATCTTGGCCGAAAGCGCGCCAACGTCGACGATTTCCCTCTCTGCATCCACCTCGTCTCCAACGAGTATGAGCAGCTGAGCTCCGAGGCCCTCGAGGCCGCCCGTATTTGCGCCAACAAGTACCTCGTCAAGCACACCGGAAAGGAAGGTTTCCACCTGCGCGTCCGCGCCCACCCCTTCCACGTCGTCCGTATCAACAAGATGTTGTCTTGCGCCGGTGCCGATAGACTGCAGACTGGTATGCGTGGTGCCTGGGGCAAGCCCAACGGCACTGTCGCCCGTGTCAACATTGGTCAGATCATCATGAGCGTCCGCACTCGTGACTCCAGTATGTGACATCCCTTCTTCTTAATCGCTACAGCATGGCGAGATCAAAGTTGTATTAACAATCACTCTTCAGACCGTGCTCTGGCTCTTGAGGCTCTTCGACGATCCCAGTACAAGTTCCCCGGCCGACAGAAGATCATCATCTCCAAGAACTGGGGCTTCACTCCTCTCCGCCGCGAGGACTACCTCGAGCGCAAGGCTGCCGGCCGTGTCAAGGTCGATGGTGCTTACGTTCAGTTCCTCAGCAACCACGGTTCCATTGAGCAGAACATTCGTCGTTTCCCCGACGCTTTCTCGTCCGAGGCGTAAATAGTTCTTCTTAATGTGGCTTCTGGGTTTTAGGTTGGCGTAATTATGGCATGTCAGATAAGAGATTTCTCGATTTGAGAATCATCAGTTAGGCAAATCAAACCATTGTGCGTTCAGCACTAGACATGCTATGTTCTATTTTGCATCTGGACTTGTTTCCGTGAAAATATGCCGGAATCTCGATTCCGCCCCAGCCAACAGGTAGAACGAACCGTGTTCACCCCTGAATAGCAGCTTACACAGCTTCTTTCCGAGTCACTTCGTGTTTCCGTAATGACCCACCGGTATCTTGAAACTTCCAATCCAATGATAACACAGCTCTGTTCTGTGGAATACACTCGGCGTCTTCGGCTGGAAGTTCACATATCAATGATGATTTGTAACAGCAGGATACAGTCAGCAGAATTTACAGTGCAGAGCCAAGCTTACATATAGCATCAGCCACCGTGGTAATAATTGCCGTTCTAATCCAGGAACAGGAAGCTTTGCTCGTCTCATCCGAGTGCCGGTGAGAGGTTCTATGACGAGACCACCTGACTTGCGTCAGTGACACAATGGTCACAGACGAGCGTTGATTCTCATACTGTTGCTAAAACGGCGCTAGGGTAGATACATGATCGGTTTTGTTGGGGCTGCATCTTGGATTCAAGACAGTTGGTTGGACAAGAATTAATTACACGCATCCTGTTGAGACCGATGGGCGGGCAGCAACAATAATAAGGATCCATGGATGGCACACAGGTGACGGGCTGGTGGCGGGGCGATGCGTTATCCATGCCATCGTACTATCGACGCAGGGTCCTTTTTCCCCCCCTACCATGCTCTTCCACTCTTTGTCGCAAAATGCATCACAAAAGGGCCCAGGAGGTCGGAGAGAACCGCTTGCTGAGACGAAACTGCATCTCCGCCGAAGCGCCGCCAACGCCGAAGTACGCACGAGCGAGTCGTGGGTTGCGCGTTTTTGATGGCGCCATGGAGTGAAGGGACACGGGAACTGGTGGCGGACGTGCATCAGCATCAATCCTTGCGGGATGGCACGAAATAACTGTGGAAGGAGAAATAACTTTTTTCTTCTTCTTCGTCCTTCTTTCTCACCATCAGCCGCCCTTTTTTTTTTCTTTTTCTCCGGGCCGTGGTTCGCATCTAGATTGCATGCATCAAGCATAATCAGCCCCAAAGTTGCTTTTACCCGTGATGGGGGGGTTGCAGCACTGAGGGATGACGGGTCTAGTAGTGAGGCGTAAAGGTGACGCAAAAAAAGCGAGTCTCGCCGTAATATCTTATCTAGAGATTTGCAAGGTGAGCGCGCCAACCGAAGTGTAAGTACGGGCTAGTACCAGCGATGTCTCCCTCCACGGCCCTCTAGCGGCCAAGTGGTGCCGTCGTCTGTGTCGTCTGTGCCGCAAATCACGAATTCTGAGCGGCACAGTTCAAGCCCACTACCTAGCAGTACCTCTCCATTTAACTGTTGATCCGGTCGTAGCGCCTCCCCTACGGAGCACCCAGCAGCGCTAAGAGGCTAGCGGGCCAGCTCACTGAAGCCGCGTCGACGGCGCTGTCTCGGAACCTCTGTCGGGCGTGGGAGAGTCAACGGCACAGGTGGCTGACACTGGCCTGAACCTGACCACTGTCAAAAGCCAACCAGCACGCGAGCACAGCGGCCCCCCACCCTTGTAGGTGCTGATCAGGCCGTCGTGCTCCAGGTGGCCTGCTGTGGTGATGACGCTCGAGCTGATAAAAACAATGGCCCAGCCTCCTCTCCTTTTCCCGCTTCGCTCGTGCGTGTAGCCTTTCAACCTTTTCACTTGCTCGCCCCAAACCCCAGTCCATTGGCGACTGGCTCGATCTGCTCCCTCATCCCTACCTCTACCTATCATCTTCTCCTCTTAAGCGCTCCACTGGCTCGGCGTTGCCAGACGGGTGCTGGGGCTCCTCCTTCACCGATCACTTCTGTCCCCGTTCGCCTTATCGCGGCCCTTCCCCGATAATTACAGAATAACCGACGCTCGCAACCCACACCGAGCACTTTTCCTCTTCCCTTCTCCTTCAGGTCCCGCAACCATGGCTTTTCAACAGCAGCCAAACCGCCCGAGTGTGCAGCGAGCAGCTCGCTCCGCTGTTGGCAGCCAGGGCCTTTCGAGGCGATCGGCGCGCAGCACCTATGACCAAGAACCAGAGGAAGCGCAGACCTGGGTGCTCTTCTCGCCTCCCACCGATGTGACCACCACGTCCTACCTCACCGAAGATGAACATGACCAATCGCTCGAGACCCCCGGCCGGTCACGAGTAAGTGACCTCGGCAGCCTCAATACAGTTGCGAGGACCGGTTCGGTGGCGGCAGCGGCTCAGAATGATGAAGCCCAGTCCTCGGCCCTCTCTGCGGCTGTTGATGAATCTCAGGATGATGCCGAGTTGGATAGTCTCGATGGCCATCTTCCTGGATTTAGATCGTTCCCGAGGAGTAGTTTTATGATGCCCGTCCTCCCAGCCCACGACGGCCTGGGATCATTCCACTTAGACCAGCCTACTCTTGGCCAAGACGCGCAGGATCACATCTTCCAGTTCGAGAGATTTAACCCCAGGCGAGTACGACGAAGGCTAAATAGCTTCGATGAAGCTCAGTTCGAATTGGAACAGGCACAAGTACAGGAGGCCGAGAAGAGGCAGCGGATTGAAGCCTGGCGGTTGGAGCATAGCCGCATCATCCTGGAAGAGGTCCAGCGCGAGGCACGGCGGACGAGAATGCTGCAACAGAAGCGGGTCGTTACACAAAAGCCCGTGCCCAAGGCGGAGGAAGCTACCGACTCGGAAGACATGACTTGGCACGAGGAAGATCCCGACACCCACCCAGAAGACAAGGAAGACAGCGAAGGTTTGATTACGAGAATTACTCGCAAAGTATTGCGCGATATACTCGGCATCGATGAGAAGATACTATCCGTGGTGCTCGGCGGCGACCTTTTAAGCGACGAGGAGCTATCGAGGACGCCACGGCCGTCAGAACATGGCCACGATGAACCGACCGCGGAAACAGAGGAATCATGGCATATGCGCATCCTCGAGACAGTGTCGAGAGAGCTCGGCTTGCTGGTCAACCATCTCTCAAAGCACCCCGGTGCCTTTTCGACGTATTCGCATGTCCATCAGGTACCTCTGCCTTATGCCGGTTTGCCTGCCATACCAGAGGCCGCAGACGGCCGCACCTCTGCCTCTGGGCGTACCGCGGCAGACAAGCATGGTGAGAGCGCGTTCCCCGAGTTCAGGCCTACCATGAGGCATACCCCACGAGCGGCCGACAGGCCATCGCAGAGGTCAAACGCGCAAGACATTCTACTACACGATGTGTCGATGGCCGATACATTTACCCAAGAGGAGTGGGAGCAAGAGATTGATATCAAGCTGGTGTTCCGATACTTGGTATCACGCTTCACATCGCAACCCGAGCCCACGTTGTCTCCCGAACTGACGACCCGTCCGGTTCCTGCGAAGCCGCAAGACGCTGCCGCTAAGGCTGCCAGAGTAAGGCAGCACCACCCCCTCACCTCCCGGACTCGCCCTAATGAACGTCGAGCTTTCAAAGCAACTGCACCTAGCAGCCCCGTGGCTATGCGACACCACAGTAGCTGTGCCAGCCAGAGCACGCGACGATCAGCCAGGAGAAGCAGCGTCTCGTCGAGGCATTACTGGGACATTGGAGGATCCATCGGAACCGGATCAATGATTGCCACTGCTCCCAACGCCCCGATGGGCAGCTGGGGCGAAGTTTAAAAAGAAGCGATGCGCTGTTTATACATGGGTTTACTCGATGCATTCACATATTCTTTTTTTTTTCTGGCATGGCTTACAGCAGCATTATTAGGCGAGCATTGATTTGTTTACTTCCATTCAAGAGCAAGGCATAATGGAATTTGTTGGCGCGAGACGAGTGATGTTCATGATGGGACATGCTGGGAGCGGCGTTTTTCTTCTCCTTTATTTTTCCTTTTCTTTTACATGGCTTGGTTATAGACATACTTTGGACAAATCCATACTCAAGATGAGACCACGGACCTTTTCTTTTACAAAGGGACGCTCAACCCTCTCCCAAAAGGGGGATTTCGAATATAATCACTTATTGACTTGCGACGTGGCATTCCATGCATCTGATATGCGGCTGAGAGGAAGAAGAGGGGTTCGTATGGCGCGGAAAGGCAGCGTAAACGGCAGTTGGTGGCTCGATGGCATGTCGTGTCCATGCAGGGCGGGAAGGGGGGCCCACCGGATCGAAGCCGTGATGACGATGATGATGATGACGAGACGAGGCTATGTTGTTGCCTTGTGCTCTCGCTGCGTAATTCTTAAGCTGTATTCGTCAATGTTGATTGCAGAATCATGAATAACTCGTAAAGTGCATACATGTACGATTGAACGAGGTCGTGTGGAATTACAATGGATGATTGATTGATGGCACGGGGCCCACGAGAGAAAGATGTGGCGGGGCAGCCTGACGGACGAGTTGAGGGTTCTTTTGTTGGTTGAATGCCGTCGATGTGTGAGAGCCAGCACTTTGAGGTTAGATTCATTATGGAATATGAAGATGCCGAGTGAGGAGGTTTACCGTAGGATCTGCAGTGATTGGGGGGATTCGACTGGATGATGACAGGACTTGACTCGACGGCCACGTTCATGTTCTTGTTTTCATTGATTCCGGTGAGACAAGCGCCACGCCGTAAAAATACAACTGCTAAATACAGGTACTAAGGGCACTTTGACATTAGCGGAAAAAGGCACGGGCCATGCCGACGAGACATGGTGCCCCATTGTATTCGATCGATGCCATTGGGGGGTTTTGCTTTGCCAATATGCCATTGTGGGCTGGGCTTTTTGGGGCGGCGTTGTTTTAAAGCACTTGCGAATACTAGGTAATGCGTGGTCGCGTTTCAAGGGAGATGGGAGATGGGGGGATTTGGGGGGGGCTCATCACCGCGTAAAGTGGTCTATATAGGCGGGGTGGAAGGGAGGATCGATGTTTGGTTTTGGTGATGTTTTGTTATTGCGACTTTGATTCATTATTTTGTTTGTTTGTTTGTTTATGTTTTTGTATTTTGAAGAGTGTTGGGGGGTTCGGGGGTAAGAGGGCAGTCTATTGTTCATATCACGGCTGTCATGTCATTTGTATCGAGTATGTAGATGACTGTAACAGTTGAGGCTCTCTAGGTAGATGTGATGGATATATGTATGTAGCGAGAATAACACCAGCGATAATGGGCCAAGGTGATATTGGGCATCAAGGACCCGGCAGATGCGGAAACCAGGACGAATGAAAGAGTACCCCAGAGGAACCAGCGTCGGACGACATGACGGCTGCATTATCCCTGTCTGTCACCTCCAGTCAACGTCTCCCCGAGGTCACCAGCGAACGGGCATCTCGCAGCCATCAGGTGCAGCGCTTTTGCACCTATAAGATGCGACACCATTGGGGTGAAGCCGTGTTTCGATCGCAAGTTGAGTATGTAGCCACTCAAGAACGTCCATCTGATGCGCCTTACAAAGTGCCGTCTGCTCTGTTTCTTCCAGGCTACCATCCCCCCAATCTGAGGCAACCACTCGCTATCTAGGACTCCGTAACAGCTGCAGCATTAGCCGGACCTGTCTCGTTCTAGCGGGCAGAAAGGCGCGTTCGAGGGAGCCGAAATGTGGAGAGCCAGGCCAAGCTCCCACTCGTTCGATGCATCCCCGTGCTTTTGCTCTCCCGCATCCCATCCTCTCACTTACTCTTGACAACTGCCTCTGCCTCTCACATCCTTTCTCTTCTGCCGTCCGTCATTGCTTCCGCTTTTCCCCCCTCAGTCAGCAATGCTTCGCCCGCCATAGACCGGTATAAATACTCTGCCGTCGCCCGCATTTCGCCTTCGCCCGCTCCCTTGAGCCACCATCGTGGGCATTCTATTTCCGCTGCGACCTCGAGCCTCCCGACACCGACAGCTGCCTCTCAACCGCGGCCTCCGCAAACTCGTCTCTTTCTTTTCTTTTCTTTTCCTCGCTCTCCTCTGCTCGTGCCATGAACTAAGGCAGACCAAGCCTGCGACCCGTCCGGGCCTGCTCATGTGCGAGGCTCAACCTGCGTTTCCTCCGAGATTGAGCGCATCACCGCCAGCCTGTCAATTCCGCAACGAGCGAGCCCGACGCTTCCACGACTCCTGACCCTCTTCCAACCTCATTGCACCGCCTCTCACGCTGGACGCAATCACGACTTATACCAATGGCCGCGAACCCATACGACACACCTCAATTCGGCGCCGAATTCTTCGACCTCTATCATGACAACGCCCCAGTCGTCCGCACCGCCATTCCTCAACTCCCCAGTGGCGGCTGCAACTATGTGGACTTGACGCCCGGCGCTGGAGGAGCGCGATGTGGCTGTCGTCGCTTCTGGTCTTTCCAGTCTACTGGAAGCCCCGTCATGGAGCAGGCTGGATGGTGCATGTGCAACCATCATGCGTGTTTCCATGATGAGCGCCCTCGGGATCAGCCTCTGTCAGCAGAGAGAATGCCAACTCCCAACACCGGGCTCGACCTCGAGAAGCTACAGTCTAGGCAACGATTAGACCCCCTGAGCCCGACTCTCGATCTCATCTCACCAAGGGAAACAGCGGCAGTGCTTGGACCCGAACTCATCAGCTTCAATGGAGCTCCCCCGCTCTCCTTTCTACAGAAGTCCTTCGACGGTCCCTTCGATACTCTAGGAGCCGTTCCCACACCCAAGCAAGCATCCAACTCAATGCCGGATACAATGGCCTGGACAAATATCATACCACCAACCCAACCAGATGCCCGCAATGCATTGCCACCTATTCCTGCTCAGTGTCTCATGTCCCAGACGGCCTCCACAACTTCTTCCATGCACACCAGGTACCTTAGGCCCTTTGCAGGAAAGGGCTTGCAGACTCTCAGCCACAATAGTCCGGCCGGAATGCTGCAACAATCCACCGCCCAGACTGCTTTGCATGAATCCCCCACGCAGCAGAAGACGGCGAGCGTCGAAGAGACCTTTGTCTTCTTGACTGGTGATGAGGAATCACCCTCACGGCCGAACACAGCTACTACCCAAATCGAACCACGGGTTGCAGCGGCAGTTGAGGCCATGCCTCGAGAGACGTTGAAGAACCTCGCTGACACTGTCGGTGGCCACGCACAACGACTTGATAGGCTGGAGACCCTCTCCTTCTCCGGCAGCGCCCACGAAGAGTGTCAAGACAAGTATGAACACATGGACCTTCGAGTCACCGAGCTGGAGAACAAAGTGGAAGACATTGAGAGGCGCGCTCTTGATGACAATGCAAGTTTCCGCCACGATCGCCAGGACGATGCTGCCAGCCCAAGTGTTTTTTCGGTCAGCTCCAGTGCGGCCAACCGACCAAGTCGCTCCCAAGAAGTATACAGCCAGCTCCAGTCGTTACAAGCCCAGGTCGACCAACTTCAATCTATCATCCCTACTTGGAATAACCCGTGGGAGGTCGAGGTTGTCTTTCTTCCGTTTCCTCTCAAAAGGCTCTGGCAGCATATCAACCTATTCCCAACAGATCCCATAACCGAAAATGGAGACGACTGGACTCAGCTTCCCATGACACTGAGCACATCCACGCCTAGAGCCCAATCTCCGGCTATGGGTGACTGGCCCACACATGACAATGGCAGGGAATGGCTGTTTCCTAGGGCCTGTGGTGACAAGAGCTTTGCGGACGATCGTCTGAGGAGTCGTGGGCTGGTGAAGACCATAAAAGTAAAGGCGCCAGATGCGAGAAGCGTCAGCATGGCGATGCTAGCTGCCTTTGGAAATGTATTTCGTGATATGCAGATGTACACGAGACCTCAAAGCCCCGGCCTAAAGGCGTCCAAGTTCATGGGGCTACAATCTTCATGGGTTCCTCTGCGGAAGATCCACAAAGATTCACGGCTACGATTTCTTAGTCCCGACGAAATGTTGACCCCGGCACTATGGGATGTCCAGTTTCTGGCTTCCGTCATGATGAAGGCAGCAGAACCTAGGTTGTTCGTTACCCATCCTGACGCCTACCTCCAGGACTATCAATCATATGACTCAGCCTGGACATGGCAGAGGCTGAAAGACGTGCCACCCGCGCGTCCTGACGTTACGGAGTCACAAGAAGTGCCCGAGGAGGATTCTCCTGAAGAGTGCTGGGCATGGAATGAGCTGCTTGACGAAAAGCCAAACGCACAACCCCCCACCACACAACACCGCCAGGAAAGGCACAGGGTGTTAATATCGCCCTCGGTGGAATACTTTTCCGCTAACCATTCGTACAGGGCCACCAGCCCGGCTGCGGTTGCCCGCCTCCAAAGATCGATAACGAGAAGTCGAGAGGGATCAGAGGCACCGTTTATTAGGTCAGCTCCGGCAACCATCAACTCCACAGTCATCCAGAGCGCAAATCCCAGGCAGCGTCTAGCATCCCGCGGACACAGCTGGCGGCCCTCACCGAGCGTCCACGGCCCACCCCAGGCTGGTGTCACGAGGAGGCGCCGTGCTCGATCGCGCAGCTATCCTCGGTTCACTCCGGGAAGGACGGCATCGCCAACTCCTGCGCCCATCGGTCATCAGGACCGTCAAACTGGTCGAGGAATAACCCCCGGCCGTGGCACAACTCCTGGTAGAGGCACAACTCCCTCTCGAGGCACTACCCCGGGTGGCTACGCTACGCCTTACAGCATCGCTGCCCATCCAGAAGTCCTAATGGAACGAGGAAGCAGCGTTCTTGAATCAGCACCCTCCTCTGACGCTGACGATGACGAAGACGATGATATTGACTTTGATATACCCGAGAGCAGCGGCTCCGACCAATCCTTTGTTGACGAAAACGACTACGAGAACGATGGGGACGACGAGAAAACTAGGATCCCCAGCGCACAGCCGATTGCTCACCCCCCTCCTGCTTCTCGGCACAGCTACCCCGGGTGGATGCGGGAGCGGGAGCGGGACATTGCTTGGCCTGGCATCGAAGATCAAGAAAACGCTTACCATTCGGACGGCGAAAACATCGATCCCAACGCCATGGACGTGGAGCACGGGAGTGACACCAGCAGCCAGCCGCCGTCTGAGTATCCGAGCACGCAACAGGCGTGGCCGGACCACGCCGATCACGCATCATCAGGGTTTAGCATCCACCAAGATAAGGATCACTGAGCTACTCATGGAGATGGGACTCACTCGGTCTCGTTGTCTCCTTTCTTCCTCTTTCTCGCTTCTCTTTTGTTCTTCCCATGTTTGCGAGGCATGGCTTGTTCTAGATGATGGATTATTATCATGGGGTTTATGGGTATTGGGTCGTATATACAATATACAAGGGCGGCCAACGTGTTTAATATCTAGCTGGTGGATTTTTGTTTTTTTCCCTTTGGCTATGCCTCATATATGGCGTTGGGGGTGTTTTTGATGCGGAGAATCTATCGGGCAGTGGCGTTTTTGTTGGATAAAACAGGCAGCTTGTTTCATCTTCCGTCGCAGTACACCATATGTGTACTCTCCCCCTATGACATACATTTGTTGTTCGTTTTTTTATACGCCAAGGTGAAGGCATGGGCGGATTTCTCGCATAGCTTATACACTTGGACAAGAAACGTACATGGTGAGATTACTACTGAGCCAAGTAATTCTTAAACCAAATCCACCAATGTCTTGATTCAAGATAAAAACATCTTTGGCGTGTGATTCCAAAAACCCGCGATCCAAAGTGCCATCCAAAATCGTCAGGTGCTTAAAAAAGGAGGTGGCATATGACAGCCCCCACGAGACACACAGGATACTACACACCACAAAGCACGCCTCAAAGTACAGGTACAGATTCATTATCTTTTACTTGATTTCAATTTTTTCATGTAGTGATGAGTATCAGACTACCTATCTGGTATATTTGTTTTTTTGCGCCCAAAAAAAAAGAAGGGGGAAATACAAATCTATATCAGTAGAAACTGAGGACAGCAAAAGCAAAGCAGACCGAATATTCTATGTTGTGAAAATAATGTCATGTGAATATAGAGGTAAGATATACGGTAGAGGGTGCATGTATTTTGTATGCATGTATCTTGCGCGTGTGAGAGGATCGCAGTATTAGCGGGATCGGGTATCAAAAGCCTCCTCCCCCAGAACGACTCTTTAAAAATGCCCAGGGAAACTTCCTCCCCCAATCAAAAAAACAACACCAAAAGAATATGCAAGGGAAGGAAAAAGAGGGGAAATCGTCAATTCGTCGGTGAAGACCGTCATGAGGCCAAAAGAGGCACTCGTCGGGAAACGAAAACATTTGACAACTCCAGTATGCAAAAAACAAGGAGGGGGAAGGGGGGGAAACCAAGGTGCACAAGTTGTCAAAAGAAAAAACAACGCCGGTGCGTTCTCGCGCCCGTCTAGAAGCGCCTGAAAAAAAACAAGACTATTCGTTCCCTCGATGCATCATTCCTAGATGCATTTCAGGCCGCGAAAAAGTCCTCCAACCAATTCCATGTGATTCGGTCCCTCCTTGGGTATCAATTCCCCATCTTTTCATTGGGTATATATCCAACCATGGCGATAAGAGTTCAAAATATGTAGCAGAATGGAAAAACAAGCATTAGCTTTGTGCTGATGCATATGCTGAAATATGCATGTGTGTCTAATGGTACCAAGTGCCCTTGGGGTCAATCTCGTAAAGCAGGCGGCAGTTTCTCGCCGGGCAGAGCGTCTGGCGCTCGAGATTTTTGAATTTAGGCCCGCTGGGTCCCGTCACATAGTGGTACTGGCCAAAGAGACGCCACTGTCGCATATCTGCGAGAGTGTAAGTCTCATCGCCCCATCGGCCCTGGTAGTGCAGCCACGTAACAGGAGCATCCGGATTGGACGCCGCAGGGGTGAAGCTGTGTGTGTCGTGCGTGAGACCTTGCGTTGCGATGCCGTCCTCGTGCTCGATGGTGTCTTTTGGGTTTTCAAGTGTATAATCGTAGAAATAAGCGTAGTTGTTCAGCGCGGGGTCCCATAGCGGTCCCTTATCCGTAACGTCCTTGAGCATTTTAAAGGGCAGAACGTAGGGATGGTTGCCGGGTAAAGCATACATGGCATGGGAGCCAACGGCCGAGTAAATGACGGGTCTGATGCCACGCTTCTCGATAGCCTCCCAAGCGTACGCCTGACCACCCTCGTGCTCGGAGAAGAAAATACCACGGGGCACGCCGTTCTGAAAGCGCACCATGCAGTGCTCCCAGTCACCCACATGGTTTCCGAACCGCAGGCCGATCACGGTTTGCCCTAGATTATAGCTGTAAAAGAAGAACCAAAAAGCATCAACAATGCCCGAGCCCTTATCCACAAGGACAAGAGTAGCTGGCGCTTTGGAGTAGCCGTCTGGGTCTGGTTTGTGACCGCGCGGGATGACGCGTTGCTGCTCCTTGCCAGGGCTGGGCGTGGGAGCATATGCGGGGACGTTGTGATCCCGGGGATCCGAGATGCGATGCACGGGATGCTTCTTGTCCACATCAAACCAAGTGTCGGGCTCGCTATGCGGCTTTCTACCGTTCCCTACGGGAGGCGGCGTAGAAGCATCAGGGTCGTCGAATGGGCTCGGCAGGTTAGCATGGCTATGGAGCCAATCTGGTCGAGATTCAACGTCCTCCTTGCTGTGAAGCGTGACCATCTGGTTGTCGTACCGGTTGAGCGCCTGCAGGTTGTGCAGAGATACTTTCTCGGTCAAATTGACTCGTTTATGATCTACCGTGACAACCATGTGCTCGATGTGCTCGCGGATGTCGGAGGGCCAAAATTGCTCGCCAGAGTAGAGGTGTACCAACGGGGCATGATCGAGAACATATTGGGGAACGTCTTTGAGGATCCTCCGTCGCTCCTTTGGGTTTCTCTTCATATCCGACCTCTTGCTTTTCCGCATTTCAGGGTTTGGGCCGTTAAGCTCGGCATCCTCCTCCCACGTACGGTCCATGCGTTTGCGCAATTCCACTCGCAGATAGTCATCTTCAGGGTCGTCGTCGAGGATGGGCGGGAGCACGGCAGGGTCCCTTCTCAGGTGGTGCAGGCCACAAAGACTGATCCATCGGCAGGCCTGGCGGTCCCAGAAGTAGGGACTGCTGCTGACCCAGAGCCTATCACGAGCGCGACTCTCGGGGCCTCTGTTTGAGGGATCGAGGATAACGGGTAGGTAGGTGGCCACGAAGATGATGAGTGCGAGCGGCACCGTCACTATGGTGAAACGTCGCAGCCAGTACATGGCCGCTTCGATGCGCCGGAGCAATCGGCAACGACAGGTCGAGGTATATGCGTGTTGATCGAGGTGGATATAGGCAGCTGGGTGGTGGACGGATTATAAAACGCGATTGCCGGGAGCCGGACGGTCAACTGGAATGTTCGAGGTGGCTATGATGCTGAATGACGATCGATCTGGTAAGGCTGCGAACAAAGGATGACGGCGAATGTCTGTTGGGAGAAGAGGGAATAAATGTCGTGCAGAAAGACCTTCATGAAGAAGAATAAGAAGAACGAACGACAGATGTCGATAGGCCAAGGATCCGGAAGAGGCGGGAGGTCCGGGGCGCGGCTGGGGCTGGAAGCGGATATAAGTTGAGACAGGGTGAGGAATGTAAGGCCTATTATAAGTGCATCACGAAGGGGGGAACCGACGATGCGAAAAGCACTAATCACGACGCCCCTGGCGACATGGCCGAGCGGATCACAAGCGATATCAAAGAGGAGGTGGGGGGAGAATAAAGAGAGAGGGAAGAAAAGGAAAGGAAGAAAAAGTCAAGGCGGGAAGCGTAGCCATCGAGGCCGCAACATGGTGGTTTGAGATGAGGGTGTGTGTGTTCCAGGGCGGTACTTGTCCAGGTACATGCATTCGGGCGGCAGGTGGCCGCTCCACACCGGCACCGGCCAAAGTACCGGTACCTGGAGCACTGCGGCTGGGCTCTGTAGACTTTGCCACGCGGCGACGTGGTTGGCCCTAGACGCTCGTTTTAGTGGACGGTGGCGGCCATGATTGGCTCGGCATTGCTCGGGCGCTTCGCGGTACCTCGCAGTGCTGCCTGACCGCCCAGCGCAAGAGTACGAGTACGAGGCCTGTGAAGCCGAGCGCCGGGGAGGGCATGTACCAGTACCTGTGCCTGTAAGGCATTTAGTGGGCATTGAGCTGGCTGTGGGAAGGAGTGTCCGGCTGAGCCGCCCTGACAGGAAGCCAAGGCCAACCTTCCGCGCCTGCCCCCTTCTCCTCCTATCATCTCGCTATGCCATTCGCCAGACTCCGCACGCAAGCGGTACCATGTGTTCTTGCCAGCGAACTCGTCTGCAGTGCGAAGTGCCTGTAAGCACTCAAGCAAGAACAGGTAGCAGTACATACATTAGAGTGCTACGTGGAGCCACATCCGCCACTCCATTAGGATTGCAGCGTTGTACAAGTACTGGCTAACCTACAATACAAGCCTCTTTTTCTTTTGCACGGGACATCAAAGAAACCGACACTCTTCAGGTTTCTACTTCTGTTTCACCTCCAGTCCTTCAACCACCGTCCGTCTCCATGAAAGAGAGCCTATGGGATGCAGCTGATGGCGCATCGTCGGTTCGTAGTGCTAACGCGCCTTTGGTGCATGTCATCCCGAAAGAGAGAAAAATTCTGCCACGGTAGGTAATCCCTAAAGCAGGTGGCAGTGTTAGTGTCTTCGTAAACCACTAGGTAGTTCTGCTTTGTAGTTGTCTTTGGAGGCTACCCTGATGGAAACGGCAAATAGTACTCCGTAACAGCTATTCGATATACTGTACGCTCAATCAAGAAACCACAAATACACATCACTTGCTTTCGTCGAGTTGTTGAATCTGCAGCTGCTGGAGCATCAGTGCTCGCCGGGTACTCGGATTCTCCATCCCAGAACCCCCCCCCCCCCCTTTTTTTTATCTTCCATTCCCTGTCAGGCATGCCACCCCCAAAACTCAAAAACAATACGTCATCAAGCCATATCCGGGCACTCTGCATGAATTAAGCCGGCCGGCAGTCTGAATCCAGAAAGAGACCAAATGCCAGAGCACCGAATGCCGGGAGAAAAACACGACGACAAGTAATTCATCACCGTGCGTGTTTCCTGAGGCATTTCCATTATATTCTACCCATCTGGCCACTAGTCAGTATGCATGCATCGCTCTGCGTCCTTTCACAGCCGGCGCCGGGCTCCTTTTAACAACGGACACCACTTTTTAGCTCCGACATCGTTCGTCTCCATCTCCATCTCGACAAACTCGGCAGTACTTTGCAAATCTGTACAGTACAGCCGGCTTACCTCATATCCGAGTGCTATTAGTGGTTACGTGTAAACGGGAGGCTTACCCGTAACGCAGACTATTCACCTCTATTGATCTGTTTATAGTTCAAGTACGCAGGAGTAGCTTACTATACACTTTCATCCATCAATTACTACCCAACTTAGATAATGTCCATATACATCCATCTCACTCGAACCACGACGACGATTGACTGCTTATTAGGGTGCTTCGTACTCGTAAATCTAGTACCCACTAGTGGAACGGTTGGCCTCCAGATAACAAGTCTCAGCACATCTGATGGAATGGCATGTTTCGAACTGGAATCTGATGTGGCCATGGCATGGTCGCGACCATTATCATGAATGGCCTCCATCAAAGTAGCTCATGTTCATCTCCTTGTGCCTTCCAGACAATCCCCACACCCTCCCACGTAATGGCGGCCCTTGGCCTCTGGCTCGGATCTGGCCAATAGCAGTACATCATATCAGCATGCGGCAGTTGAAGGTCATCTCGACGATCGCGGGTTGGGGCATAAGGCAATGGGCCCTTCATGCAAATCACCAGCCTCATCTGCTGGATTCATCCCGTGGACCCTTGAAATGCCAGGCGCCAAGAGATCGTCTCGTTGCTGCTCTGTCCTAAAACTCGCTTGTGCGCTAGACGATGCAACCATGTGTGGCGAACCACTTCTACTGAGGCGGCCACATGGTAGCACCCAATGGTCAGCATCACCCTATCATGGACTGGCCTCTTAGACGTCTGTAGATATGCAAGGCTACCTTCAGTCATGCCTGCTGGGCAGCTAAGGGCCACGCATGACTATTTTGTCGCATTTATCCGCAAGCGAAAAACAACATCGGTGCCAAGATGGCGATGTAGTCAATGAGCTATCAGCACTCCGTCTCCTTTAATGCTTCTTGGTTTTGCCATCCCCCATGGCCACCGAAGGAATGTCGTGCCTTGGAACAGCATTCCCCATTTGCTATTGCACCGCACATGGCTAGATCGAAATATCCTGGGCGTCGGCCCTATCAGTACCTTCAAATATTATCATGTGAGCCCAATTCTAAGCTAGCATCGGCTTCATTCATACTTCTACGCGGCCTAGAGTGTAGAAATCGGCTGGTAGGATGCAACTTGACATGTAATCAACCTGCAATCAACTTGCAATCACCATATAGCCGAGTTGTAAAAGACCAGCCTTGTGAAGGCATCATAGTTTTTGCGTTATTTTCCATTCGCAGCATCTTTGGAAGTTAAGCGAGTTCGCATGCTTATCAGGAGTCTTGTCCAGATTCAGGGGCGCGGGGTTCCAGGTCTTTTCCGTACCAAATCTAGTCCAGTATCATGACATCGCCGTCGTCTTCGTCCCCATCGTCGTCCTCGTTCTCATCATCGGAAGCCGCACGTCTTCTTTCTGGTCCATCACTGTCCTCGTAGATGTCATTGAGGCTATCGTTATCATTATCGTCCTCGTCATCTTGAATCCCAAAGAGTTCGTCCCAGTGACTTGGCGTGGGTGTGGACAGTGTGGTCGAATCCAACCCTGAGCCTGCGCCCCTATCCGTTGCCGCTGATGTTCCCCTTGCGGCAGATGCTCTCCTTCGTCTACCACCTCGGCGACCCTGGCTTCGCCTTGTGTATCGACGTTCTCTTCTGTCACTCTGACTAGCTCCGTTGTTTTGATCGACGCCGAGACTGGGCTTTTTCCTGCGAGGTTTAAAATCTGGCCCCTTTCTGTCGTCAAAATCCTTTCCAGGGCCATCCATGGCATATACTGTAACTTCATCTGCGTCCCCCCTTTTCTTTTTCAGGGCGATGAGATTCTCCAGGAAGCGCAACTGCTGCGCCCTTTCACCGGTCCTATCCTTCCCCGGGGGGATTCGGATGTTCCACTCCTCGCGAATGGCCGCCAGAGAGTCCTCTTGGGCCACTCTGGGTTTTAGAATCTTTTCGGTGGTCAGGATGCGCGAAGAGCTTGCTCCGAGTATATCCACACCGCCGGGAAGATGGCGAAGAGCAGGTAACTGAGCGGCATCTTTGGCTTCACGATCGGTCAATATTGCCTCTGTGCCAATGACCTCTGCCCATTGTCCCTCAAAGACTCGGCCCCTGTAGGATATGATCGGATTGCGAGAGTGAAGTTCGAGTATCTGTATCTCTTCAAGGGGGTCGTTTGCCGACTCTTCGTCACCTTCTGTTGCCTCTGGTGCCGCTTTCGTGGCTTCTGCCTCTTTTTCCTTTCCTTTTCCTTTGTCTTTTCCCCCTTGCCTCGCTGTTTTCCTAGCGTCATTACGACTGTCGTCCCCCATGGCTCGTAGTCGAGGATCTATGTTTGCGTCCTCTGCGTCCTCCTCTTCTTCCTCTTCCGGCACCTCCTCTTCCGGTTCAGGAGCTTCTTCATTATTTTGGTCATTGCCTTTACTATTGCCATCTCCATTATGATTAGGGTCTTGCTGGCCGACGGCAAGGTCCGGCTTGGCGTCCAACTTTAGGTGGTCGGCATACTGATCTGACCAGTTCTTGTAATACCCGCCACGGCTGTGATGGTGGGCCTTTGCCGGGCGATCCTTCAACTCTGGATAGGACAGTTCTAGCGTTAGGTAGTACGTCTAATTGGTGACTTGGGTTAACATCCAGCGCCGCGTAGTCACATAAAGGAACAAAGAACTTACCTCTGTCTCGGTAGCAGAGTATTCGTATTCCCACTCATCCTGGTCATCTTGCGAGATCTGCTGCAAGATTGTATCGACATCCAAGGCTCCAGCTTCATCTCCCAGCCATGGCGATGCTGTTGCTGTCGCTGCCGAGGTCGTGGATGTTGTTGTTGCTGCTGCTGCTGCTGCTGAGGTTGCCATAGCAGCCGGCTACAGTGCTTATCCTCGAGATAGGAAAAGTCCCGGGCAGCGCGAAGAGCAGTGGAATATGACGCTGCGACGGAGATTGTAGATGGAAATGTCCGTCTGTTCGAATTACGTATTAAGGCACCATCTCTGTCGCGTATCTTGAGAGATGCGTGCACTAAGCCGGTTGAGCTTCAATGCCGAGAACGAAATGCAGGAAGAGCTGTGGCGGGGCCAAAGGTGCAAAATGCCGTCGCTCTCAGCAGAAGCTCTTGCCAAAGTTAGGGCGTCTACTTTCGGCATAGCCGGTGACTGTCCAAGGCTAGACCCCGCTATCGCTCTCAAGTCCCGTTATCAGGGCTTCGATAAGAATTTCGAATCTCAGTTCATGGCGGTTGACTGATTCGACTCAGACTCTTTCTTGACTCACAACTCGCGGCAAAGCATTCCTCGACTGCAAAGCTGTCAATTGCAGGGCTCTACAGAGTATATAAACGGCCTTTTGCCACATCAACCAGCGCATGATACACAACAATCCAGCTGTGTAACCACCCTCAAATCAAGCAACTTATTCGCTGAACCCCGCGGACTTTTTGCAACAGCAAACGGGCAAGATGCCCACGGTTCACCTCTTGGACTACGTCGCCGGCAACATCCGCAGTCTGGTTAATGCCATTGAAAAGCTGGGCTATCAGGTAGACTGGGTCCGGTCTCCCGAAGATGTGCCCAAGGCAGAGGTTTGGATGGCCGTTGTTACTGTTGGAAATTGAAGCACTTACTCACCTGTCGTGACAGAAACTCATTCTGCCCGGTGTCGGCCACTTCGGCCACTGCATGACCCAGCTTTCTCAGGCAAACTATCTACCTGCGATAAAAAAGCACATTGAGGATGGCAAGCCATTTATGGGCATTTGTGTTGGCCTCCAAGCCCTCTTCCAGGGTTCCGAGGAAGATCCTGAGGTTCCCGGTCTCGGCGTGATACCTTCATACCTCACTCACTTTGATGAAAGCGACAAGTCGGTGCCGCACATCGGATGGAACAACGCCAACACTGCAGGCAAGGTCATGTATGACCTGAGACCGGACTCCAAATACTACTACGTCCACTCCTACAAGTCCCCTTACAGCAAAGGCACGCTCGAAGCCCAAGGCTGGACAGTTGCGACAGGAACCTACGGAAGCGAGACATTCATCGGCGCCATTGCAAAGGGCAACGTTTACGCTACCCAATTCCACCCCGAAAAGTCTGGCGTTGCCGGCCTACGGACGATCCGGGCCTTCTTGACCGGCTCCGGAGCGCAAAACCTCGGAGCTGGTCTGCCATCCGACGTTGCATCAGCCGACCCCAAGGACGGCCTCACCCGCCGACTCATTGCCTGTCTTGATGTCCGAACCAATGACCAAGGCGACCTCGTCGTCACAAAGGGAGACCAGTATGACGTCCGCGAAAAGGGTGCCGACCGCAATGTCCGCAACCTGGGCAAGCCCGTGGAGATGGCTAAGAAGTACTACGAATCCGGTGCCGATGAAGTCACCTTCCTCAACATCACATCCTTCCGCGACTGCCCCCTCGCCGATCTTCCCATGCTGGAGGTCCTCCGACAGACCTCACTAACCGTCTTCGTGCCCCTAACCATCGGAGGCGGCATCCGCGACACCGTCGACACGGATGGCACAAAGGTCTCTGCCCTTGACATTGCCACCATGTACTTCAAGTCCGGCGCCGACAAGGTCTCCATCGGATCAGACGCCGTCTTGGCCGCCGAGGAATACTACTCTCTCGGCAAGAAGCTCTTTGGCAACACCGCCATTGAGCAAATCTCCCGCGCCTACGGCAGGCAAGCCGTCGTCGTCAGCGTCGACCCCAAGCGCGTCTACGTCCCCAAGCTCGATGCCACCCGCCACGCCATCATCGAGACCAAGTTCCCCGGCCCCAAGGGCGAGGCCTTTTGCTGGTACGCTTGCACCATCAAGGGCGGCCGCGAGACACGCGATATGGACGTTGTGGAGCTCACGCAGGCCGTCGAGGCGATGGGTGCGGGAGAGATCCTGCTCAACTGCATCGACAAGGACGGCACCAACAGCGGATTCGACCTCGAGCTCATCCAGCAGGTCAAGAACGCTGTCAAGATCCCCGTCATTGCGTCTAGCGGCGCCGGCAACCCGGGACACTTTGAGGAGGTGTTTGAGAAGACCACTACGGATGCCGCTCTTGGGGCTGGCATGTTCCACCGGGGAGAGTACACAGTAAAACAGGTCAAGGATTTCCTCCAGGACAAGGGTTTACTGATACGACAGTTTGATGGAGACCTATAATTTAGGGATAAGAAAAACAAGGGGGCTTCGGGGTTACGGTGGGTGGTTATAGACTATTCGCAAGACGCAATTGATGCATTTCATGTTCATTACGCTGTAAAAGATGAGTGAAAAAATTTAATTCTATCAAGAATGATGAGAGAGGAAAAAAGTTGAATCCATTCACTCAAACTACCTAAATGTTGGCAACTACCCGATAACTGATGGCCTAAACCCGTCCGGAGTACTCCGTACAGTCTATCCCTGTTGATCCATGACTCCAAATGAAGATGCATCGAGACACTTTTCAAAGGGCAGTTTGACCAATCCCAAAACGAACAACACCAAAACATTAACAGTCCCAACTAAAAACTCCCGGGATGGTGCTAGCTTCGAAAGAACAAGAGAAGCAGAATCACTGACCAGCGCCGGTATGCTATTTGTTTGCTTTTTCGAGCCATAAAGAACAAACGGGCGGATCCAGGACCGACAACAAATCAATCTGGTTTTCCTTAACAAGTAAAGCTGGTTCCCCAATAAAACGAATGCGCAGAAAAGCAGGCAAAATCAAGAGAAAAGACTAGAGTTCCATGCCCATGAAAATCCACTGCTTGCTAGTCACGTCCAAGTCTTCAGCCCAGTGATCTAGCGTGGCCATGTCAAACCCAACCCACTGAAGGCTCTTGACCAAATCACGAGCATTCTCTGCAGGCAGGCGGCGATCGAGACATGTGACGATCTGGCTACAGGCCAGGGGACCATCAGCAAGTTCGATGAGCGCCATAAGACTATAGATAGGGAAGTTAGTGATAAATTCAAATCTCACGGCTGAGCAGAATAAAAGGTTGCAACTTACGCCTTTTTCAAGTCTCTTCCGAGCACGCCTTCAATGTCGAAGAAGATGAAGAGGGACTTCTCCCTTCCATCGTCCACCACAAAGGCGCGGAAGCTCGATCCGCCGGCGTAGTCCCATACTTCCATCCAGGCGTCGATCCGCGAGCCAGCCGGAACTGCGTCCGGGCCCTGGTTGAATGGATCCGCGAGGTGGTTGTCGGGTGGCGGCGATTGTAAATAAGCACCTGAAAAGCCGGAGCCATTGATAGACGGGTTCCTCTCACCAAGGAACACGGTCTTCATGGTCTCACAGAAGAATCTCTCACATTCTTCCCTGATCATGAGTGCTGCCCCCCCTCGTCGCTCCAGGCGTCTGCCTGGAATGTCGCGCTTCTTCTGCTTAGGAAGAAGGGCGAGCTGGTTGGACGAGGTTAATGCGGCGAGGGGGGGACTTGACGGAGGAGAAGGCAGGCCTGAGGAAGGGACCTCAGGAATACCACTCCGCCCCTAGGGAAACGAGAGACACAAGGTTAGAACAGGCCGACTTTAAGACGAGGAGATTGGAAGAAGAAGAAAAGAAGCTTACCTGTGACCCCCGTAGTGCAGTAGTGGAGGCCCTTGAGGCTGGCGGCAGAGTCAACGACGTAGCATGAGGCAAGGACGTTGACACGGGCAGTCAACTCCTCGCCATAATTACTACTGTAATTTATACTTTGGTTACTCATTGGCGCCATTGCTGATGGATTCCACGGTGATCGCTTGGGAGATCTGTTTCTTGAAAGAGAGATGGGAAATACCGAGCCTTGGGGCTAGGTCGACTGCGGGTGGCGAATGACTGGTAGGGGTCGTGCAGAGCAGCGGAGCGATCAATTCAGACTTGATCAAAGATGTAAGACGGTGCGTTTGTTTGGTTCAAGTCTCGGGCGACGTAATCGGGTCGATTTCGCGATGCTGGCTCGTTGAACTGGTGGTCAGAGGTCGAAGCGGTTTTTTGCAGGATAATTGCGTGCAGGTGGTGGAAAAGGAAAAAGCGGAGGAGCACAGGAAATTCGGCAAAGTGGTGCGCTTTAACCATTGGCGGCTTGCTGACTACATGTAGCCACTGCAGGTGGACGCTTCCAGGCCGTTCGGCGGGACGTTGGGACATTGGCAGGCCGCTTACAGCGCTTCAGGGCCTGTGGCCAGCGGAGACGGAGGCGCTGAGGGTGCCAATCATCCGGGCCGCCAAGCCCACATGTTGGCTGACTGATTCACAGCTCTCGGGCGTCTGTGGACACTGTCTTGGGATGCACCGGCTGCGTGCGGTGGCACAGTGCGACCCTTTGTCCAGCATTTGACGGATGTTTGTCGCCGTCTGCGGCCCCCGAGCTTCCGCTGTCAAACGGCGCTGATGACGAAATTTTCTCTCGCCAAGGCCGTGACCTCGTACAATGGAGATCACTGCTTGATTGCACTGTTTGACGGTGTGGGATTTCGGGGGCGAGCTGATTTGATGTTCGGCAACGGCGTGTGCAACAACATTGATGGGCTTCAAAGTGTCACTACGGGCTCAATGTCAAATCTTCTGGATAATTAGTAGTGCATTAGGTGATGAGTGACCTGAACCTTATCCAGTTAGTACGGGCGCATGAGCGAAGCTGTAGCTTTCAGCCAAACCATCTTAGCTTCAAGGCAGGTACATGGATGCTGAAAAGGGGGCGCAAAACCACCTTACTGCCATGTACTCCATTTGTGTCTGTGCAGCTGCTACAGCATCAATTGTCTCCGAGTATGACCGTCTGTGCGCCTCATGTCTTGATTCAGTCTAGACGATATGGGTTCAATCATATTGATGGTTAAGTGAAGTAGTATGAGGTTATTACAGGAGACCTCAAGTCTAATAACTTCAAGTGGTCATGGACAAAAATAACAGTGTTTGCTAACGATGTGACAATGAGACACCGTGAGGCACCACGAACGCATTCACCCCCAAGGCTACCCCTTATACTTTACCCTCCTCGATCCGTAACTGGAACCAAACAAGGACAAGAGAGACAAGTATTCACATCTACAGACTTCCCGGCCGTCTGCCATGTACATTCATGTATGCTATGACCACTACTTACATCCTAGGTAGATGGGCCCTTTATCCATCTCGCTACCCAAACGACTTATCAGGTATAGATTTTAATAACCCTCGAAGGCCCAGTCATCGCAGGGCATATATAATAAACAAATTTGCCAAACCCTCTGCTTTGGCATATGCGCCTGGTGTAAAAGAAAAGGGGGGAAAGGAATCAAGACAAAGCAAGCAAAACCAAAATCAATCACAACCAACATCTAACTCCTCCAACTGTTCAACCGTGTCTCGCACTGAGACTTGCAAAGGCGTCAGGGCTGTGCCGTCCATTCGTCCATGCCATGTCCATACCTAGGTTCATGCTTTCTCTGCTAATCTTGCGATCTGTGGCAAAAGGGTCTGGAGCTACTGCTGGAGGTCCGCTCTTCATGAACGGGTTGTTATTTCCTGGAAGTGGCTGTGTCGCGCTCAGAGGCGACTGCGCCGGAGCCGCTGGAGAGTGCATGACCTGCATTGGCATTGGTCTGTCCTCTGGGATAGTTGGCGTTTGTGCGTGTATGTTGGGATCAGAGACCGTGGGGCGGGCTGCTTGCTGGCCGTATAGCGCGAGGATAGACGCCTTGTCTTGACGTTGAGGCTGATAAAATTGCTGCTGCTGCTGCTGCTGCTGCTGCTGCTGCTGATGTAGTTGTTGCTGATGTAGCTGTTGCTGCTGTAGCTGTTGCTGCTGTAGCTGTTGCTGCTGTAGCTGTTGCTGCTGTCCATAAAACTGAGGTTGCTGCTGCTGCATCACTTGCTGGGGGTACTGCACGCCATTGTTCAAAAAGGGATTCGTCCCAGTCAGGTGCTGCTGCAGTGGCGTTGGGGCCTGGAAAATGGTAGGCAGAGACTGCTCTGGAATCTGGGTGAGAGAAGGCGACGATATCCTAGTCGGTGATCGCGTAAAGGGATTGTTCGCATACGGCGCAGCCTGGTTGGTGTTGAGCGATAGGCTTTGTTGAGGTGCCTGCTGAGGTGCCTGCTGCTGAAACTGGGCCGGTGCCTGCGTGAAGAATGGATTGTAGCCCGTCTGCTGTGGTGCAATGGGCTGCGCGGCAGGTTGAGGGTATGTCATGCTATTATGGAAGCTCGGGCTCTGATATTGTTGGGGCATTGACGGAGGAGCTTGCGACTGAGAGTACATCGCGTACTGATGGGGCGTCGAGATGACTCCACCAGTATGATGGGGGAAAAGAGGTTGAGCTACCGGAGACAGGGACATGTTCTGGAATGCTTGGGTGACAAGGCTGGCCTGTTGTGCTGGTGTTCCATAGGGATTCGTCGAGTTTATGAAAGGATTGTTGGTTTGGAGTGTCCCGGTGGAATGGGCCGTCTGGGGCTGAGCAGGCGGAAAGATATCGAACGGATTCGTAGAGGCTGCTGAAGCTGTGATTGGGCGTTCTGGAGTCGCTTCCTTTTGGGTCACGCTCAAACCTAGGTTGAGACCCACGGGATTCGAGCCTACCGGTGTCAGCGACCTTGAAGCTCGCAGCGTCCGTTCCGCAGCCGCGCCGGGCCCTGGTGAGTGTCTCTCGCCTTCTCCAAGACGAACTAGCGCCTCGACGGCACGTTCCAAGTTGCCGTTGACTCCCTTTAGAATAGTTGCATTTCGATGGTCGTCCTGGAAGCCCATGTCTCGTAGTCTCGCCAGCTTCTTGTCTGTGTCGTCCTGGCCGTAGTCTACAGAAGCTCCAAAGACTTTGGACTGTTTGTTTGCGTGGTTCCCATGGTTGGCCGAAGAATTGGAATTCGCAAGCTCTTGCGCAGCGGCTGCCTTGGCCTCCTTTTTCGCTCGCGATGACAGTGGGAATATTGACGAGGCCGATCTGAATCCGAACTTGGAGTTCTTGGGCGGTAACGGTGGTGGAGTTCCTTCATCCAGCTGCGGTTTTTTCAGCTTCCCAGCCTGGCCCGCGACAGTATTGATATATTTTTGCCGGATGAACCTCTCCATGGCTGAGTCTGCTTCATCCACGTCAATAGGCACCGATGCCGCCTTATTCTCGGGGTTATATATCTTGTTCGACGTAGTGTTGCCGACCTTTCGCATGTTCTATGACTCAAACGGGTAAGTCTTCCATGTTCACAACCTTGTACAAAGGGCCGGCGCTCGCTCACGTCAACTTGTTCATTCGTCCATGCATCCATGCTTAGCGACTTGACTTTGGATATGTGCGTGCCTAGTTTTCGATGTATCGCAGCACAGCGCATACACAGGAAGACTCCCAGCTGTAATTGCACAGGTCAGTATCTATCATCTCGAACCGCAGCGTCGTTGAGGAAAGGATATCGTACGCTCCATGATGCCCAAGCTGTAACACAGGTCGCGGTTAGCAAGAGGTTGTACGAGATGTGCGAACGGAGACAGTAGATGCATACATGGATTTCGCGCGTGACAGTCGGCGCACTGGTCATTGCCTGGGACGGAATGTACCAGGTCTTGGAGAATGGCCTCATTACGCGCCTGCTGGCGCTTGCTCAAAGTCCCCGTCATGACGCTGTCGTGGCTCTCTAGCGATGTGCTGCGTAGAGACCAAGCGAGTGTACAGTAATGGGTAGCAGAGACAGATGCGCGCGTGAAGGCTCAGGCGTAAGAGGGACCGGGGTGCTCGCCGTATCCAAGCAATTGGAGACCCAAACGGGCCTATTCGATTTTCGACGGCTGGCTGTAAGATGAGGCTTTGGAATCAGACCAGGGTCATGGCGATGGAGACGGGCGAGGGGCCGTGCAGGAGCTGGCAAAGGAGAGGGACCAAACGAGAACGTCGACGCCAGCAGGCAGCTCGCAGATGGCGGAGAAAGGAAAAAGCAAGGCACGAAACAACAGTCAAGAAAAAGAGAGACGAGGAGAAAGCACAAAGAAAATGGTGCTAGCGAGGCAAGCGATTCATGGGTGATGCGATTCGATTTCGGACTCCCCACTGGGGAAAAGGAGAAGCATCGAATCATTACCCGACGTTGGTTTTAGCCTGCAGATGCCACACGACCAGCCCGGCCTAGCAGAAGGGCCAAGCACCGCGCCACAGCGTAGTGGAGAGGCCCCAATTGTTCCAGAGAAGCGCTGTGCAGACGCCTGTGCTCGAGGCGAGTTAGCGGCCCTGGCCCTGCGCTTCAGCGGTGTTGGTAGCGCTGCATCCTTCGTATTTGGGCCGGGCGCCGAACAAAGACCCGTCGCGGCGGGGCTAATCGATAAGGCTGGGATTGCAAACAATAGGTAGTCCGGAGCTGGAGACGAAGAATGTGGAAGCCATGTGCCGGATGAATCACCAGGAGATGCGAGGTTCTCGATCTGGCAGAGGTGAGGCAATGCAATGCACAGATGATCGGTTTCAGGTGAATGGCGCGGCCATGGAAAATTCTCCGGTCGGGGGCAGCTGGCAACCGCGCTGTCCGTTTATCAGCAAGTTGAGCGTAAAGGCAGCTCGTGATGACCACTCAGTAGCACTCGAGGCACTCGGTGCAAGTGTCGCTATGGCTTCTTCTTCTTCTCTCAAAGCAAAAGTAAATTTGGTGGGTTGTCCCTTGGTCATGAAGAATTCCAAATGCCCTCATACCCACACTTTGATCGCGTGGAGTTCTTGTGTATCCGATTTATCTTCGTCTGATGGCTTGGAGGGCAGTTCTGGACCTCGATAGTACTCCATGGCTGTTGGCCACCGCAATACCCGACCACCTCCGGATATACTATCGTCATACATAGGTACAAATCACACATGGCTCAGTCACCACCCTTCAAACTCCCATCCGCTGTCACTCACGTGTCCTCGATCCGAGGCTCCGGCCTTGCCGGCCTGTTGGTCTCTCCACGGTCGGAGTGTAGGTTAAGCAACCTCCGTGGATGAAGTCGGCCTGACTTTGCCTCCTAGAGTCTGGCCTCGGTACCCGTCGACGCCGTGGTGGTGCCACTGACGCAGAGGTCACCATAAGCCTACTACGACCAAGGTAAAAACTATTCCAATCTCCAGATGACAAAGAAAAAAGAATGGCCGTGAATCCGGTCGCGAAATTGGTCAACTGCCAACTGGCGGCTCGGATACATCCGCCGTGCCTTGCGCCATCCCTCAAATCGCCGCGCTTGGTCCGTTTCCCAGCGTGTCGCCGTCCGAGTCCAGCCGCCGAAAGGGCCGGACTCTGGTCGCGGGACATTTATTAGGGGAAGAGGCCCAGCGAGGTCTTGGATGCTGACGGCGGCCAACCTTCCAATCGCATCAGCCTATATTGTATTACTTGAGTGTCACCAACGGGCTTACTGAACTCTGCTCTGAACAAAACAGCGCGAGGGAGCGGGATTAGACCCTGGAACTCAGCCACTGCACAACCCGCCCGCCCGGCTGCTAAACCTCCCCAGCCACAACCTTGTGGGCGGACAGCACCTCCCAGCTAAGCCAAACACGTTGAGAGCCCGACAGTTAACGTGGTCTGTCCAGAGCTTCAGCTCCATCTCGCCCAAACCTCACCCTTACAGACGCTTCCCAGCCACAAACCATCTCACTTATTTGCTCAGTCAACTCGCTTCTGCCTTGTCTGAGCCCCAACCGACGAATCCGACGGCAGATCTGGAACATACAGGGAGCTTTGCCATGGAACAAGAGCTTTAAAACAACGCAGCCTGTTTCGCGACCATCTTCTACACAACTGACGCCGGAGCCTTTGCTGGAGACATTTCGGGAGCAATGGCTGGCATAGAGAGACTAGAGGTCCACAGCAGGGTATGGCCTCTCGATCCTCCCTCCCGAGGCTGCAACGAACTGCAAAAGGCTGACTGGAATCACATAGTCCTACATTGTCCGCTGGGTCAAGGTCGAGGAGGGGAACACCCTCTCCTGGAGCGTACAACCACACAAAAAGTCCATGTGAGTAGCTGCTGCTTCAGAGAGTCGAATGCACTCTGCTGTGAATCCTAATTGACCGCGAACCCACATAGAAACTTCGGCATCGTTAAACACCCCGGCAGCGGTGCCACGGGTCTCTCCTCCACGGCCGGCGACGATTTCCACTCCAACAGCTCACAAACGCAAGAGCTTGCAGAGGGCAAAGCGAGCCGATTTGCCAAGAGAGATGTCACGGCGCAGGATCTCCTCTCCAGCAAGGGCTTTATATCGATAAAATGGTTTGGGAAGTGCGAGGCGGACAAGGTGTCCATGGGGGCTTACGACGTGCCCCTCGGGCAGACGGGCATGTATGGCCTGGTCTTTGACAACACCTTTTCCAAGCAAACATCCAAGACGGCCACATTTGTCGTCCTGACATATCCCACCGGTGCGGCTCCGCAGAGCGCCAACCATCTCCCGAATCTGCAGATGCCGAATGCTAGCCAGACCAGCTTGGGCATGCATGGCAGCCCGCCAACCCGAGAGGGAGATCCCTCCGCCTCCGTGGATAGCTTCCATAGCCACCCGAGCAAGGGCCATGCGCGCACTGTATCCGAAGCAACTATGCCGGCCAATTACCATGTTGGAACACTCTCAAAGAGGAGGCGTAAGAAGGGACAGGGTTATGCTAGACGCTTCTTTTCCCTCGATTACTCCACCTGCACCCTGTCTTATTACTACAACAGGAATTCTTCTGCTCTTCGTGGAGCAATTCCCTTGAGCTTGGCTGCCATCGCTGCCGATGAGAGGAGAAGAGAAATTAGCATAGATTCCGGCGCTGAAGTATGGCACCTCAAAGCGCCCAACGACAAGGAATTCCAAGACTGGGCTCGAGCTCTTGAAAAGGCGAGCAAATTGGCGAGAGGCCTTGAAAACCAGCCGCAGCAGCCAAAGCTTGGTTTGCAGGTTGACAACCGCACTCTGCAGCAAGGTAACCTTGCTGGCCACCATGGAGGCCGTGACGAAGAGGTTGAATGGCAGCAGGTCGAGACTCTGGTTAGCCGCGTTGTTGGAACTCGTGATGCGCTGCGCCGTCTAACTAAGGAGGTTGCGGCGCTACCGAGACCGACATCTTCGTCATCGCACCATCTCCTGGGTCCGCCTGGGAGTGCCATTGATGAAAGTGGCGATGCGGCGGAGAAGAAGTCGTTCTGGAAACGCAAGTCCAGCAACTCCGTATCGGCCTCGACCCCCCCGACACTGCGACCGGATTCAGCGACGATCGAAGACCACACTGATGTGAGCAAGCGCAGGTCTAAAGGTGCGACCCAGGAAGAAAAGTCTTTGCAGGATCATTGCGCGGCTTTGCTGGCCGATCTCGATTCCGTTGTCAGTGAATTCACCATTCTCATCAACAACAGCAAACGACGCCGGATACCGGTGCCCAAGTCTGCTGATGCCGCCTCTCGCCTAAGCTTGGATACGACCTCTACAGGAGATGAGTTCTTTGATGCCGAAGATGCCACAAGGGTCGTTAAGATTGATGCCAGCGACGATGAGCCGCACGAGTCAGACGCTGATGATGCCTCTTCGCATGACAACTCATCTATCTCGTCCGTCGAAGAGGAGGAGGTGCAAAGTGGTGGTGCGAACTCACTGTTCCCAGCCAAACCAAAGAGCCTTGTTCCGCTGCCTCTTGACGTCGCAGTTGACCGAAGAACCGGGATACCGCCTGCGATGGTTTTGCCCCCTAGCCTGATTGCGTTTGTTCGGAAGAATGTTGGCAAAGATCTTAGCACCATCAGCATGCCCGTTTCCGCCAACGAGCCCATCTCCCTGCTGCAGAAGATTGCAGAGCAGCTAGAATATGCGCAGCTTTTGGACCAGGCTGCTAAGCGCGGATCGGTAACCGAGCGACTGCTGTACGTTACCGCCTTTGCCGTCTCACAGTTTAGCAGTGGTCGTGCCAAGGAGCGAGCTATCCGCAAGCCGTTTAACCCTCTGCTGGGAGAGACGTTTGAATTGGTCCGCTCGAACAAGGAAACCCCTGGCGGCTTCCGCTTGCTTGTGGAGAAGGTCCAGCATCGACCTGTCAAGTTGGCTATGCAGGCTGAGTCTGCCAGTTGGTCGCTCTCTCAATCTGCCGCCCCAGGTCAGAAGTTTTGGGGCAAAAGTGCCGAGATTACGACTGATGGTCGTGTAAGAGTTGTGCTGCGACTGTCGGACGGATCTGACGAGCTGTACTCGTGGAACATTGCCACGATGTTCTTGCGAAACGTGGTCATGGGCGAGAAGTACGTGGAGCCTGTCGGGACGATGAATGTGACCAACGACTCGACCGGCCACAAGGCGGCCGTTGAGTTTAGAAGCAAGGGCATGTTTGGTGGAAGAGCCGAAGATGTCCATGTGGAGACGTTTGGACCAGATGGCGGCAACACGGGCAGTGGACTCGCCGGCACCTGGACTAACGGGCTCAAGACGGCTGGAAAATCAGGAGGCGAAGAGATTTGGCATGTCGGCCAAATGGTGGACAATCCTGTCCAGACGTATGGAATGACGGCATTTGCAGCCTCGCTTAACGAAATCACGGAGATTGAGAAGGGCAAGCTGCCGCCAACCGACTGCAGATTGCGTCAGGATCAGCGACTCGCCGAGCAGGGCAATCTAGACGAGGCCGAGATTTGGAAGGTCAAACTGGAGGAAGCACAACGAGCTCGTCGCCGCGTCTTGGAAGAGCGAGGCGAGCAGTACAAGCCAAGGTGGTTCGTCAAGGCGGAGGAGTCTCCAGAGGGAGAGGAAGTGTGGAGGATCAAGACGGGTAAAGACAGCTACTGGGAAGAACGTGCAAAGGGTGCTTGGACTGGCATTGAGGAGATTTTCAGCGTGCCTGGGGAGTAGAGCTTTTGCGGGCAGTGTTATGGCTTTGTTGGGTAACAAAAACAATGGCGGATAGAGCGGTTTGACGCTATCTACAGATTATGAATTGTCTTTTTCTTCTTCTCTTCAGCCCTTCTTTTACTGCTGGATCGGAAGGATAGATGGCGGAAGGGGTGATGAATGTGAATATGAATATTATGACTTCTACTTTGGCACTTTCTGCTGAGACTACGATTAGTTATGCTGAGACTGAATGGTTTAAAGGTGAGTGATGTAATGGCGGAGTGCGTGTCAAGTTCTTGGCAGATGATAATCTGCATCTTGAAGATTTGATCACGAAGCAACAAATACAACTTCTCCTTTCCATCTCCCAGATTTTCATCAAGCAATGCCGTATGCGTTATCTAGCAATGCAAGAGCTCTTGTATTTGGAAATGATAGCCAGGGGTTTCTCGTTTGTGACATTCCAAGCTTCATCTACTTTATCTAGGAGAATCCGATGGGAGATTAAATCAAGGCGCAAGGCGAAAGCAGCTGACGAGCATAGCAAGATCGCCACGCCGATTCAAATTTCCGCACCTCGGAATGTCTCGAAAAAGCACAAGGGGAGAGAGCCGGCGAAGCTTGGCGGCATTAACAAGCTTTCTGCGATGACTATGGCCAGATACAAGTGTCGAGCGTTCGTTCCAAACCACTAAAGATGGTGATGGCCCCTGAAGATCAGACGTTTTTTGTGGGTTTGGATCTTTGTGGGCAGGGAGATTCCCTGTGAGGTGGCGCTTGGTGGAAGGGATTTGATCCTTCCGGGATTTTTATTTAGTACTCGTATCTTGACAGAGGCTTGATTTTGTTTCTAAATTTCAAGGTGAGGACGAAAGAGGCAAGCCGAGGCGGAGGGAAGTTGGAGATGCTCCGACAGGGCAGCCTTTTGGTGTATTTGATATTGAACTGCTTCTTTCAGTGTATTGATGGGTGGGAGGAGATAGATATAAGAACCTTATGGCAACAATTGCATTTACTTGCATTAGCATGCAGCACGAAACCGCGGTCTATTTTATGCTCCTAGTAACCGTATCAATGAGCCAACTGATCATACTGTACTCGTATCTATTTTCGTCATGCACGGCGACATGCTGGAGATCCAAGCCGTACGGCTTCGAGAAGCAGACGGTGGAGAGTGGATTCCATGTGCGTGCGAGAGGGGCTTTGAGCAGGGGTGGTGCGGGAACAAATAACCTTGGAGGCTTTATTCGGCGCATCCACAAACGACGACCGAGTTTCAAGTTTCGAGAGCGGCGGCCTATCAAGATGGAGTCACGGTCCACTCTGGATTGTGATGGATTTGGTGTTGATTGTGGTGAGTTGGTTGACTATGAATAACAGATGCCGGGCTCCCGGTAATAATTGTAAAGAAATGCGACTCGTGATGAAACAATTGATGGATAGAGCGTCCATGGAATAAAAAAAGGTCGAGGTTATTAAAAGAAACAAACAACATACGAACAAGAAATCAAGAATCTAGGCCAAGGGGCACGGTGGACCGATGACGATCGGTATATGTCACCGGCTGCAAACGCGTACCTTTTGGCTATGCCCGTCCCAGCATCGACGCAGCCCTCTTCTCTCGTGTTAACCGAATCTTTGGTCGGCTGAGGACGATAATTGGCTGCGGGTTCTGGGTAATACGAGCGATAGCAGCAGGTGGCATCGCGAATAGACTTTGGCATCGCCTCTGCATGGACAATTCCATCCCGGAGTAGCTTCAGCTTTAATCCAATTGAGTTTTTTTTTTTTGTTCATGTTCTTTTTCTTTTGCTGAATGAGCTGCACAATTTGTTCAGCTTGAACTCAGCTGAGCTTAAGCTGATCTGCACTGGCTGTAACTTGAGCAGGTTTAACAAAAAAAAAAAAACTTGGTCAAAGGGCCTCTCCGCGCAGTGTCTCACACTGTCTGCCCATCCCAACCTCGCAGCTTCGCCCTCCTTTGTCTCTCTCCCTACATTTCATACTTGAGCTGGCTGGCGGTTTCGTAGGTCGTAGTGGCGTTCGGTCTGTGGATCATCGTCTCCATGTGGGCTCGTGTGCGACACTCGCGGGCCAGCCATTGGAAGCTTTGGCCCGTCTGGCGGCTTGATGCCTCGCCTCGCAAGCTGTGGTCAATGGGATCCATGGTGAATGTTTGTGCCCCGACTCAATCAGTGAGTGATGGACAGCTCCGGGGGGGGGGGGGGGGGGGGCGCTAAATGAAATGGCCTTGCCTCCATTGTACAGGCACAGGCACAGGCACAGACAGGGTCACGCAGAGCAATCAAATCAAGTCAAGTCACGCCAGGTTGTGGTGTTGTGTTGTGGTGTAGTTTTTATCTTTCGTGGCAGCTCGAGGTATTAATATTTAGCCCTCCATTCCAGCTGCCCTTTTCTCTTCCTGCCCTTCCCTCCCTCCCTCTTCTTTCCGAAACATCTTCTCCTTCCCGCCCAGAGCTTTCCAACCAACTTCTTTCTTCACTCGTTTCCCACAGCTCTCTCGTTACTGCGGCGTCTTTTCGCTTCTTTCTTCATTCCCTCCTTCTTCGTCTTTTTCGTTGGCCAATCTATCGTATAATCCTCGGACTCGACTCGATCCAGCTCCCTTCCACTCTTTACAGAGGCTCATCCATCTATCCATACCTTTTGCCTGCGCTCATCTGCCGGCGATTTATCCATTTGTGCCATTTCACCATTCATCCATCAGCGATTGGCGTCACCATGAAGGGACTCGCTCTTCTTTCAGCCGTTGCCGGCCTCGGCGCCGTCATGGCTTCTCCCACCCCATCAAAGAACAGCCCTGCATCCAAGAGAGCCTCGCTGCCCGCTGTTTCGGCCTCTGGAAATGGTTAGTAAAACGTCATACTGCAATCTACTTCATTCGACCCGAATACACTGCTGACATGCTCGAATTCCTCTAGCTTTCTGGGCTGATGGCAAGCGCTTCTACCTCCGTGGTATTGACTACCAGCCCGGTGGCGCTGCGGCCAACGAGGATCCCCTCGCTGACCCCAAGACCTGCCTCCGAGATATCAAGAACTTCCAGGACCTCGGCGTCAACACTATTCGTGTCTACGCCGTCGACAACTCCAAGGATCACGACGAGTGCATGAACGCCCTCGCCGATGCCGGCATCTACTTGGTTCTCGACGTCAACAACCCAGGCTACTCCATCAACCGTCTTAAGCCCGGTCCCTCCTACAACACCATGTATCTTCAGAGCGTTTTTTCCACTGTTGAGATGTTTGCCAAGTATGACAACACGCTGGCTTTCTTCTCGGGCAACGAGGTCATCAACGACGAGCCTGGAACCGACAAGTCTGCTCCCTACGTCAAGGCTGTCACTCGTGATATGAAGAACTACATCAACTCTCGAGGACTCCGCAAGGTCCCCGTTGGATACTCTGCCGCCGACGTTTCCTCCAACCGCATGCAGACAGCCATGTACATGAACTGTGGCAGTGATGATGAGCGATCCGACTTCTTCGCCTTTAATGATTACTCTTGGTGCAACAGCGACTTCAAGACCTCCGGTTGGGACCAAAAGGTTAAGAATTTTACCGACTACGGCATTCCTATCTTGTATGTGCACCACCCCTATTACTCTTTCATACAATGCTAACATGTTTCCCAGCTTGTCCGAGTGGGGCTGTATCAAGAACCGCCCTCGCAAGTTTGAGGAGCTGTCTGCCCTGATGAGCTCGCAGATGAGCGAAGTCTACTCTGGTGGCATCATGTACGAATACTCCAAGGAGGACAACGACTATGGAATTGTCACTATCAAGGGTGACTCCATCTCCAAGTCGGACGAGTACAATCTTTTCAAGAGTGCCTTGGCTGATAACCCGACCCCCACCGGTTCCGGCGGCGCTGCCAGCTCTAGTCACGCTGCCAAGTGCCCGCCCAAGGACTCTACCTGGAACGTCGACCCCAGCCTGATCCCCGAGATGCCTGAAGCTGCCAACAAGTTCATGAAGAAGGGTGCTGGTGACGGTCCTGGCCTTGGCGGCGATGGTTCTCAGAACGCTGCCGATAGCGGTACCGCAACGGCTAGTGTAACCGGCGGTACGGCTTCTCCTACCAGCACATCCGGGTCTGCCTCCGAGACGGAATCCGACAGCGCTGCTGGCTCCTTCTCCCATACTCCCCTGGACAAGGCACCATTCATCGTGTCTGGCTTGACTTTGGCCTTCACCCTGTTCGGCACCCTTCTTCTCTAAGGGTGTAAATCCTCATCGATTTGAAACAGCATGACGTTCTCTCTTCTTTTGGTATTGGCGGGGCCTTTGGGGCCTTTTCAACCTGGCGATTAGACTATGATGCCCTGGTGTACGGTAGAAATGGAATTCGGGATGGCGGTAATGTAAAGGCTAACAACAGTGTCTGGCTCTGGAGAGACAAGACAGGGGGCGGGAAGAATGATAATCTTACAGTTTAGGCTTTGGAGCCATTGTTAATACGTGCATCGTCTTTTTGTTTCTTAATCATCTTTGGTCACTTGTGTTCCGGTTGTTGTGAAGTCCTTATGATAAAGACTGTAATTCTTATTCCTTGTGGCTTTCGATTGAGTGTCAATGTGATGGACGGAGTGTAGCTGATCATAGACTTTAGTACTTGTTACACTGATCTTAGGCGGTATGTGGCAATCAGAGAGGCTCGGAGAATAAGATGGGCAACTACTAGGTACCTATTCAACCTCATTGGACGATATCACATCACAGGTACTTACTAAGGTACGTACTGCTGTCGCAACCTCAGAGAGCCGTAAACTGGCAATGTCAGGCTGCGTCTTCCCCTCTGCATCTTAAGCCTCATTGCATTGAACTCTTCCTAAATCTATCGACAAAGAATGGACAACTCTCGGAATTTCTCAGGGAATACTCTTGGAAGCAATGCGACCATCAACCAAGGCAATATCACCCAAATTACGGTTCATACCAGTATGGTCTCCATATCACCTACAATCAGGCATTGGCTCACCGATGGCACAGATACATCAAACGCGGACAAGTCGTTTCTCCCCGAGATCAGCAAAACGGATCCTTTCTACGACAAACAACGTATTCTAACGCTGAAGGGCCCACTTTTATGGGATTCGTTTAGTTGGATTTTAAGACATGAACAGTTCGACGAATGGCGCCATGCAAAAGAGAGTGGTGTTTTGTGGATTAAAGGGGATCCTGGAAAAGGCAAGACAATGCTGCTTTGTGGCATCATTGAAGACTTGGAACAGAACCCCCAAAGCGAAAATCTAAGCTACTTCTTCTGTCAAGCCGCGGACTACAGAATCAACACTGGCACTGCTGTTGTCGGCGGATTGATCAAATCGCTGCTCAAGAGACACCCGAGACTTCTCTCACGCGTTCGAGAAAGCTATGAGGATAAACTCAAGGATCAGCTAGATGGAGCCAACGCATTAGTTATTCTATGCGATATCTTTGAGACCATCACCAATGATCCGGGGCTAACTGATGTCATCTGCATTGTCGATGCCCTCGACGAATGTATACAAGACTGCAGACTTCTTCTAAACCTTATTATCAAAACAAGCGGTCATGTCAAGTGGCTGCTGTCGAGTCGGAATGAGAAAGACATGGAAAAGATGCTCGACCAGGTTCCTCAAAAGCTCATCTTGGAATTGAAACAGAATGCCGAACGAATATCTACGTCTATTGATGCATATATCAGGCACCACATTCACGAAATTGAAGCCTTGAAGGGTGATGAACAGCTTCAAGCAAGAGCACTTGACATACTTGAAAGCAAATCCCAGGGCACCTTTTTATGGGTAGCACTTGTGGTTGAACAGCTGCATAAAACAGACCACTGGGATGTGGAAAATGTGTTGGAAGAGGTACCGAAAGATCTAGAGAGCCTTTATGGTTTAATATTAGATCAAACAGAGAAACTGGGGAAGAATGGTCAAGAAGTCTGCCAAGTCTTGCTTTCAATTGTCGCCACAGCTAAGAGGCCTCTGCACCTTGGAGAGCTACTTATTTTCATCAATTCTCATTGGAAAGATAGTAGGCACTTCAAAACCACATACGAACTACGAGATGTACGAGACATGGCGAAAACTTGCGGATCTATTCTATCTATACGAGATAATACTGTCTACTTTATTCACCAGTCAGCGAAGGATTATGTTGTGGGCAATGCGGCTCATCGCATTTTCCCTATCCTACATCAACATCACAAAATGTTTGAAGCTTCGTTGGATGCCATGTCTAATGTTCTCAAGTATGACATATATGGCTTGGAAGACCCCGCAAAACATATAGACGATATTCCCTTGAAAGACGTCGACTCTGATCCCTTGGCTGCTGTAAGATACTGCTGCGTATTCTGGGTTGAGCATCTAGTCTCGGGCTACGAATTTAGGGGATATGAACACAGAAAATATTTCGGAGACGATGGAAGACTTCATTGCTTTCTCAAGGAAAAGTTCCTTTGTTGGATTGAATCTTTATCCCTCATGCGCAGCTTTTATCCACAGGTAAATAGCCCGAACCCAGGGCACTATAAATCCTCGGGATGCTCTTCAGAAACTCAAGGACCTCATCGAGAGCTATCATGGCAGCGGAAGCATTGAGAGCGAGATTTCACAAACCCTACAGTTACAGAGAGAGCGTGAGATACAAAGCCTCAGACAATTCACTGATGATGCTTATCGATTTGTGGAAAATTCCAAGGAGTCCGTGGCTTATTGGCCGTTACAGCTCTACTTTTCAGCCATGGCTTTTGAACAAGGCAGCTGTGGCATCCGAACGACTTTTCAGCGGACTGTACATGAGAAATTTGGGCCTTCGCCTATTCTTGCAAACGTGCAACAGGGCCAGTCCAATTTACGAGTGCGGAGCGCTTTCAACGTTCCCGAGGATCCGTTTGCTTATATTGAGACAATACATGTTTCCCAGTCGATGATTTCTTCTCCTGACTCGTGGCTTGTCGTCCGAATGAATGCCAATGGATCCATCCTGGAACTAAGATTCTGGAGAGTAGACTCAGGAACATTGGAACACACTTTTAAGATAAGCTGGGGCAGTAAGATTGCCTTCATTCCCAACTCCAATGAATTCATATCCGCTTCTCAAGATGGCATCATAAAGATGTGGAACCTGGACAAAAGATGTTGTGTTGGAGAGCAATATCTGCATTTCAAATGTCCGAGACCTGGCCCGCAATTTGGTTCAATACAGGTGACTTCAATTACGACATTGGATCCTCTCAGAGAGAGAGTTATCGCTTTATCCCCAAAGGGAGAATTGGTAGCGTCGTGGCATCGAAAATCATCTGATGGACCAGGTTTAATAAAGATTTGGGATGCTAAGACGACTTGTTGCGGTAGTTCATTTGAGTCTGGCGAAGCACCATCTATGCATGCGGCCTTTTCGCCAAACATTCAGCTACTGGCTGTATCGTACGACGACGGCGTTAGAGTGCACAGTGTAAAGACAGGTGCAATAGTTCAATATCTTCGATATCTCGACAACCGCACAAGGGAGGAAGAGACTCGAGGTACTTGGAACGGCTTCAATCCAGGAGCCTCAAGACTCGAACATGTGTGGTTTTCGCCGAATTCCGAAGTTCTAGTCGCCATGGTGTCAAAACGGGAACTCCATCTCTGGGACACCCATACATGGAAACTACTGCATTACATTGAAGTATGTTCACAGCACCCCCATACAGGTATCTTGCAGTGTCTTGCTATCTCTCCTGACTCGGCGATTCTGGCCACAGGCTCGCCAGCTGAAACCAAGCTCTGGCATATTGGTACAGGAGAATGCGTTGCCAAAGTTCCTGTCATTGCTCGGTCTATAGCATTTGCCCCGAACTGGACAAAGTCCTTTCTTCTAGTATTGCAACAATGTGGTAACGTTCAGACCTGGTTTGTCAATATCGGCCAAACCATACGCCATTATGACAGCTTTGACAGCATAACCATATCACCTGACTCAAAGTTTGTGGCTTCAAGAAATAGGCATCATGAAGCAATTTACGTTTGGAGTGGAGATTGCCGATTGATCCATGTGCTCAAATGGGATCGTATAGGATTAAATTTCGTTTTCTCGCCAGATTCCCAACTGCTGGCTTATATGACCGGTCACGACTCTTATGGCATCCATATATGTCGTGTTACCACAGGAGAGCCTGTTTGCTTACTTGCATACCAAAGCAAGGCATACTTTTCCTCCATGGCCTTCTCAAGCGATGGAAAAATCCTGGTAGTTGGCGACGCCAACGGTGAAATATACATCTGGAGCATAGATTCCGGTCAACTCATACACGAATATGCCCTTCCCGATGAATCTCTGAAGCAAATTGATAATCGATGGCCTTCAGTCTCCCTCAATTCTGCGTACGTAGCAGCATCCTGGGGTTCTGAGAAAGCCCAAGCGCGAATCTGGCACTTGAATACAAGTGATGTTGTCGTGATTAGGCCCTCTCAAGTACTCCGGAATTCCCATCCGGGTCAAGATTCTCTTCCAGTTTTTGTTGGTGAAGTACAAATATCTTTTTCTTCTGATTCGGCCATTTTGGCCTGTATTAGAGGACGCACGACCCAATATTTGACGTTACTACTGGCGCTTGCCTGCAGAGATTTGCTATTGACGGCAGTGATCATCCACGACTACTATCTTTTGACCCGGTCAATGGCCGAATTCTCACTACTAAATCCGTTTTCTATAAAACCTCTTCATGGGAGCACTGGCAGACATCTCCACGACTTGGCTACTCCTACGACTATCGCCCGTACGATCCCGAGACTGGACTAGGCGAATGGATTCTGCTGGACGGGAAAAAGAACTGTTATGTGCTACTTCACTTTAGGCCTGGGTATTCGTATGCGGTCGAGAGTATTGTCACTGTGGCCATGACTGATTCCATATTGGCAACCGTAAATGCATCGGGAAGTGTGGCTATGATCAAGCTTCCCACTCGACATGGAGGCACGACAACAAGCGTTGGGGCGTCTGGTATCGGTCCAGCGCTTCAAGGTAATTTGCCGGCGACGAGTGGTTCTGCTTTGAGCAGCACTAAAAGAAAGAGAAGGGGATCTGATCAACCCAATATTGGCGACCAAGCGAATACCTTTTGGTCAGTGATCTAATCACTGCTTTTGGCCCGGTAATGATTTCCAGGAAAGAAGTGCTTGAGCCATGACTAAGGGGGCAAAAGAACACCACGATGCTTAGTAGGCGTTGGGACAGGAGGTTGCAAGAACGAGATGGTCATGGATTCCTCCAAGAACATTGTTCTATGTAGCGAAAAGAGACAGGCAATCGACACAATGATGATGCGAGTAATGGGCAAAAGCGAAGCTTGGATCTCATCATCAGAAGCCGCGTTCCCCAGATTGGGCGATTGGCGCTGGCCCCACTCTGGAGCTGTGCCTCGGCTTGGTTGGAATCGCTGTGATAGGACACACTGCTCTACCAAGGTTCTGGGTAAGCCGAGATGCTTTCGACAACTTTCACGATTCCTCCCAACTCTTGAATTCACCTCCAGCTGGATTGGGACTGACTGCATGTGGCTTGATTCTGTTTACTAATCACCTAATCTACAAAACTCATCTCATACCCGCGATTGAACCATCTTCTGGATCATTCATCTGCCATCTCACCCGGCAAACAATCCACAGTCAGCACAAGCATCAAACCACATCAAACTCTCAAGATGGCCTCGTCATCATCATCATCCGGGGCAGGATCCCCCCTCGCCGCCTACTCCGCCTACAAGTTCTTCACCGTCACCTCCCCCAAGCCCTTCGTGGCGCACGTGCAGATCCAGCGCCCGGACAAGCTCAACGCCTTCTCCGAGGCCATGTGGCTCGAATTCGGGCGCGTCTTCCAGCAGCTCAGCGCCGACGCCGACGTGCGCACCGTCGTGCTGAGCGGAGCGGGCGACAAGGCTTTCACGGCCGGCCTGGACGTGCAGTCGGCGTCGCAGGACACGACGCTCATGTCGGACCAGAAGGACCCGGCGAGGAAGGCCAAGGCCATCAGGGCGCAGATTGAGGGGTTTCAGGGTTCCATCGGGGCCATGGAGAAGTGCGAGAAGCGTAAGTTTGTTTTCGTGTCTTGTTTTGTTTTTGAAGGAACCTTGTTCCTTGATTCTATCTGGGAAATATTATCTAACATGTGATTCTATAGCCGTCATTGCCGCCATGCACGGCATCGCCCTTGGCCTCGCCATCGACATTTCTTGCACCGCCGATATCCGCATTTGCGCCTCCAACACCCGCTTTTCCGTCAAAGAGGTCGACATCGGCCTCGCTGCTGACATTGGCACGCTTGCTCGTCTCCCCAAGATCGTGGGATCCACGTCGTGGGTCAAGGACGTGTGCCTGACGGCCCGTGACTTTTCTGCACAGGAGGCCCTCGCCGTGGGTTTCGTGAGCCAGGTGCACGAAAGCAAGGAGAAGACGGTACAGGTGGCCATTGACCTTGCGGCTAATATCGCAGAGAAGAGCCCCGTGGCCGTGCAAGGTACCAAGGAGCTGCTGAACCACGCGAGGGATCACAGTACTGTGGACACTCTGCGGTATACACAGCTGTGGAATTCGGTGGCGCTGCAGGGAGCAGATTTCCCTGCGGCGATATTGAGTGTGTTGAAGAAGCAGAAGCCGACGTTTGCCAAGCTGTAAGGTGTTCGGCCGACTGTGGATGGGAACATTGTTTGGATAGTAAGGTAGTGGCGGTATGTACAATGGCTAGGATAGACTGCCTGGTAATGCACAAATTTGTCTAGTGAATTAAATAGTTTACATCGGTAAAACGGCGCTCTAATATGACTAAGTGATGCTCGTGAGGTTTGTCGGTACTCGGTAAGCGTGAGTTATTCGGAACCGGACTCGTCGACGGGGGGAAGATTCTCCTTGAGGCGCTGGAAAGACAAAATGTGAGCTAAAGCAAACAAAGACAAGGAAATGGGCACCGAGAGGTGTTTTTTAACGTACGTCTTCGAGCTTCTGTTTGAGAAGATGAACCATGTTTTCCTTGACAACGACACGCTCTTCGTCTAGGTCCTCGATGATAAAGTCGTGGTTCACGCTGTCGATGTTGACGATGATGGACTTGATGGAAGGATCGCACTCGATCAGGACGCCTAGGCGCGCGTTAGTGATGAATGGAGAGTTTCGTGAATGGAATGAGAGAGGGCGTAAACGTACCTCTAATGGCACGGGGCATGATGGGCAATTGGTGGTGATTTGGCCGTCGGTATTGATGGTTTGTGGATGTGAACTGATGCAAGGCTGCGCTGGAGTACCTAATGATGTTCAGTCCAGTGGTGGATTTTAGAGACTGCCTCAGGTTCGACTTGGGCCACAGGCGTTGAGTTACAGGGCTCCAGTCCGTGGCTTTTAGCGTCCGGCAGGCGGGCGGGCGGACCTGGACCTTGGACGGTTCCGGGCCAGCGCCTCCGGTATTACTGAGGAGTGGAGAGTTGATGCCGAATTCGATATAACAGTAGAGACTTGATAATCCATAACATAAGTAGATGGATGTGTCGTTATTGAACAAAGGATGATGGTAGAAGCAAAGCGGACAATCATTTGTCTTCAATCCCCGTAATTCGTATTCCAAATCACATCAAATCCCGCCCAAGATGCCACCCCCTCGGTATTACTTTGCCGTCCACGCTCCCCGCACTTTGGACTGTAACCAGCAATATAATCTTCATCCCAGACACCAACCATCTTCAATCTACTAACGAGGGGGGGCTAAAACTGCTCCGAAACTGACAAGACAGACACGTAATGCCACTAGTTTTTGTCTCTCTTTCTGCTCCCGGCAGGCACACCACCACGGATAACTGGGGCCGGTGCAAAGCCACTCCCTCCAAGTCTTTCTGCGACGATCTGCTCATGGCATTTTACCATTTGTGCCTCCCTCCATGGCCGGCCCGCGGATGGATTGGGAGCTCCGGGGATGCTGAAAGCGGGTTGGGGGCGAGTGACGTCTGCGAAGAGGTTGCGCCGAGTACATGTCAATGGTTTATTCATAAGGATTCCGTCATTTCTAGGGCGAGTGGGATTTGTGTTTTGCTTCTTCTACCTTTTGCGACGCTTTCTCTCTTATCTTGCATGCTTGCTGTGCCTGCTGCCTTTGCGTCCCAGCACATCCATCGATGGGATAACTCTCTCCTTTTTTTTGTCTGTATCGTTTTAGCCTTATAGTAGAGTTTGCGACTCTACTTTACTAAGCTATCCATTGATATCGTATTGATACGAAGCCATTTGAACAGCGCCCGAGCTTGAGACCGACCGTCGGCGCAAGGCGCATTTACGCGTACATGAACTGACGAGCCCATCACCGCCATCATGAGTACGGATCAACCAACGTCGACGCGGCCCTTGACCTATGTCATCATCCCTCTCCTCGCCATATTCGTCGTCTGCTCAACCTTTTTGTTCTTCCACATACGCCGTCGCCGTCGCCGCCTCGTCCCCGTCGACGGCTGGGCTCGTGGGCGATGGGTAACCCGGGATGGGACCGTCATGTTCATTCCGCGGCACTACAGACGCAATCCATGGGGCGGATTTCACTCCCAAGAGGGCCTCAACGAGCTGGGAGAAGCGCCGCCTCCGTACAAGTTCAAGGCCGTCACGACACAAGAAAGCGAAGCTGCAACAGGAGCTGGGGCGCCGACGGAGCTGAGGGACTTGGAGGAGGGGAGGAGGCCGCCGGAGTATATTGCGGAACCACCGCCGGCGGTCACGACTGAGTCGAGGAGGACGGTAGTGTAAGGGAGGCTTTTGGGGGCGGTCGTGGCTGATGTGATTGAAAGTTGTCTTTATAGGGATCTGGGGCCTGTGT